GCTTACCCCACTCGAGGTTCAGAGCTTCAATCACCATTGATTCGTTCATTCATTCATCAACTTTTACTGAGTGCTTTACCTCAGTGCTTACCATAGGTGCTAGCACTGTGTACTGAAGGCGCACAGAGATGAAAATGACCCTGGTCTCTAGTGTGCTTAATAGAAGCGTTTTGTTTTCAAACAACAGGCAAGATGTATGCCCTCTTTTTAATCTAAAATGACAGGACAACCAAATTAAGTAACTACACTGGCTTCAAAAGCCCCTTCCACAGCATCTATATTTACATATTTTAAGTCATTACCCCATGACAGGCACAAAAGAGACAGTAGGAAAATCAAACATGGGTCCTCTAGTCCAGGAGCTTAAGGTCCAGGTGGGAGACGGTCGCATGAACAATCACAATTTTACGTGGCTGAATACTCACGAGGAGTGGATGGCAGGAAAATCTACCCTCGCTGGTGAGTCGGAGGGGAAGAAGACTGGAGCTGCAGAGCTGTGGCAGGCAGAATTCTAAGGTGATCCCTGATGACTCCTGCCTTTGGGTAATGCCCTCGCCTTGAGAGGAAAGGACTTGTGAATTGCTTCTAGAATATGTCAAAGGGAAGGTATTTTACAACAATGATTTACGTCCCTAAGTAGCTGACTTTAAATTTAACAAAAGGGAGAATATCCTGGGTGGGCCACATCTAATCAGGTGATACTTTTTAAAAAAGTGATGGGACAGAAACTAGTGTCTCATCTAGAGGTGAGAGAGTCTCCCTGCCCCTCCTCATTGCCTAGAAGAAGCAAGCTTCCTTCTGTAGAACACATGGCTACAAGGAAGTGAATTCTGACAATAACAGGAGTGTAGAAGCCAATGCTCCCTTAGCCAAGCCTCCAGACAAGAAGTTCTCCGGTTTTCTTTCACTTAAAATGCATCTTCTCATGATTTTTTTGTTTGCTGAGCCAGGTGCTAAGTGCTTGTGAGGCACCTGCCATGCGCCTGGGACTGTGCTGGATATGACGAGAGACTGCAAGGCTGTGGAGAAAGGCGCTGTTCTTCGAGGACCTCGGGAGAAGCCTCGCGTGCTAGAAAACAGAAGACCACAGAACAGCGAGCTCCGCAAGTGCGGAAGAGGAAGTGTTACTGAGCCCATGCTGAGGAGTAACGAGCTTTGTTTTGACTTTGTAGGCTGTCTCCTCAAAGCGAAGAGAAGGCTCGGGCAATATTCTTAGCGTACAGCTGAATGGATATAGACAACAGGAATTTGTGATCTGATGATAGCTAATCATATGGAAATCCTGATTACTTGGAATATTTGGGAATAATTTTCAAGATACTGAGCTCAAATGTTGAGTTATCCAACCAGTACCTCAACAACTGAGTGCTGTGTCCGCCAGAATGTTTTAAATTACTACTAATACAAAATCCCATTTAAGTGGCTTAAACAATAAATGAATTTCTTATCTAACCAAACGAGTAATCCTGAGGTAAGTGAGCGCCAAGGTTTAACTTAGACGCTCACCAACATAATGAAGGATCAGAGTTCTTTTATTTTCTCATTGTCTTTTCCTTGTTGCAATAGTTTGTTCATAGTTACCTTTCCTCGTGGTCACAAGATAGCTGCCACTGTTTTAGGTACAGCTTCCCAGGACAGTCTTAACAAGCACTATTTCCTTCCATGTGTCTTTTTCCTCACTGAAGAAAAATTTCTCCAAAAATCCCCAGCAGACTTCTCCTAAAGTCTCGCTGACCAGTGTTCTTTCTATCTCATGCTCGTGCCTGAAACAGTCAGAACTTTTACCTTCTGGACAGTGTTTGGGGCTTAATTCCTAAATCTCGTGGTCTGAGGGAACTGGAGTCCTAACAAAAAGGGGAAGGAGAATGAGCAGTGGTGGGGAGACCATCTGCTCCCAGCATCAGGTGATGATTAAGTAGACTGTCTTACACTGGGCACACAAACAGTCCCACCAGTGGCAGACAGTGACACACAGGGACACATGCGTGACCGCCAGGAACTGCACGCTGTGAGGCAGCAGGGGCATAACGGTGAGGTCATGCATCCAGAAAGGCCACCCCAAGGAAGTGAAAGATGAGTAGGAAGCAGCCTGGCACCGCACGCAGGCGATCACTGGGGCAGAGGGACAGGCCTGGCTGGTCGAAGAGCACAACAGGAGGCTGGTGTGGCTGAGGCGAGGGGGCCGTGGCAGCCACAGGGTCTTTCTGTCAGGAGTCTGGGTTGGGTCCTTAGAGCCATGCCGAGACACTGAAGGTTTAAAAACTCAGTCTGGCTGCTGTGTGGAGAATGGATGGAAAAGTTAGGAGACTATAGTGACCGATGCGCTGATAGTGGCTTGGCCTGGGAGGTGACAGAGGGTTAGAGGAAAGTGAACAGATGGGGTGTGAAGGGCATTGCTAGTCGCAGGGGGGATACAAGGTGAGTCAGCCCCAAGATTCCCTCCTGAGATGTGCACCAGCAGTGGGAGGTGTACCTCCCTCCACGGTGGAACGACCAAGTGCCACATGGGAGGTGGAGGGAAAAAGACGCGGGAGTTCAGAAGAAGGTAGGGCCATGAGGTTGGGGTGTGCAGGCAGGCCCGAATTTAGGGCACTGCCTTAAGGAAGGTGACATTCAGGCAGGGCTCCAAAGGCCGGCAACATGGGTAAGAAGGCGCAAATCTGGAAAGGCCAGCCCAGCAGGAAGAGCCAAGGTGAGCCCTGAGCTGTGAGCCAGGAAATGGGCAAGCAGGGTAGAACTGGAGGAGAACCCAGGCGGAACTGTAAACAGGAGTGCTGGGGATGGAGGTGGGAACGTTTTCAGAGTCAGATTCAGATTCTAAGTGTCAGGCTAGGGCAATAAACAAGAAGACAAAAACACTGAGTCTTTTGGGGAGCAGGGGCAGAGTGCTAGGGTTTAAACCTAGAATGTCACCTAAAAGCCTCATATATGCAGAAGGGGGAACCTTGGGGGTGCTGTACTCTCAGTGAATTAATTCACTGAGGCACTGAGCTGCAAGTGCTGCTAGGAGATGGGGCCTGGTGAAAAGAGGGGATCACAGCAGGTGTGACCAGGAAAGATTCATCTCCCGCCCTTCTCCCTTCACTTTCTTGGCCATTAGGATGCAAACAGCTTCCCTTCGTGATTCCCCTCGGCCAAGCCATTTCTGCCTTGGAGCCAACTGACTATGGGCTGAAACCTCTAAGAACTGTGAACCAATATAAAGCTCTCCTCCTTTAAGTTGTGGACGTTGGGCATTCTGTCTAAGCAATGGGAAAGTGACTTGGACAGAGTTCAGATTCAAGAGAGTTTTGAGTGTCGGGCTAGGGTAATAAACAAGGGGACAAAACCTTTGCTGAAGCTAGGCACATCCATAATCCCAGCTATTGCAGAAGGCAAAGCAGGAAGATCTGAAGTTAGAGTCCAACCTTGGCTTAAACTTGTCTCGAAATGAAAAGGGGCTGGGGATGTCATTCAGTGGTAGAACATCCCTGAGTTTAATCCCCAGTGATGGAGGGGAAGAACTTTCAATAAAGCCCAGCTTGGTTATAACTCTATGTGGTTTTCTTAGGAATAATTACTGTGCTATTCAAGTTTTGATGAATCACTGGATGACAGAGTCAGTGAGGCTACCAGCATCTGCTCCTGGGATTGCTGCTACCTGTGGGTCATTTACCAAGGATTCTAACTTCTTTTATACTCCATCCCTTCCTCATTGAGTATTGGTGCAGAGGTGGGGGGGTTCTTAGAGAAAACATGGTTCCAACTTTCAAGGGGTCTAAGAGTTGAACAGATAGAGTTAAATTGCAATAAATATTTATCTAGAAGTGGCACAAAGTGGAAAATATTCTCTCTAGCACATGGAGTGTGGCACTAGATTTCACAGTGGGTGGTGACACATAAATGTCACTTGAGGGTTGGCCTCGGAAGGAATTAGTAGGAATTCACAAGGAATTAGTAAGAATTAGTAGGAATTCACAAGGCAAGAAAAATGAAATGCAGCTGGGGATTTAGCTCAGCAGTGCAGCGCCCGCCTGGCACGCATGAAGCCCTGAGTTCAATTCCTGATACTGGAGAGAAAGAGAGAAAGAGAGAAAGAGAGAAAAAGAGAAAGAGAGAAAGAGAGAAAGAAAGAAAGAAAGGAAAGAAAGAAGAGAAAGAAAGAAAGAATGAAGAGAAAGAAACAACTAAGGAAGGAAGAAAGGAAGAGAAAGAAAAATAGAACAAAGGAAGGAAGAGAAAGAAAGAAAGAAGGAAGGAAAAGAAAGAGAGAAAGAAAGTGGAAGACAGGGCTTCCAAGTACAGAGGAGTTCTGTGCAAAGACACACAAACATCTTTTCAACTCTTGCACAAAGCCTATAGTGTGATGAATGAGTTCTTCCAGTTGCTACAAAGCAACAGCATTACGTATTTGTCTCTCACAAATGTGAATTTTGTGTACCAAAAAGGATATTTGTAAGTCACATTAGTTACACCCACTACCCTTACTTTTTCCTCAGGAAAATTTTACTGACTTTCATATTTCCAGGACAGAAAGGGAAGGAATCGTAAATCTGCTTTTTCAGAGAGCTGTAAACTCGTCACCCATCTGGGGCCCAGAGGGACTGGGGAAGCACACCTGGTTCCCACTTTGGACATTTGCAGGAAATCAGTCCCTGTTGAACAGTTTGAGTGTCCATAAGTTACCTCAGATGCCCAAGACCATTCATCTTGTCTCAGAAATGTGTTGAATTCTTTATTTTCTTCAAAAATTAACATGTGGAGACTGTGAGACCAAGCGAAAGTGAGCAAGGAGCTCACGGAAGGCTGGAAACACTATCCTGCCACCAGACACCAGTGTTTGACAAAGGTGTGGACTGCAGGGCAGGTAGCGCCCTGACTGCCAAGGCCACCCTGGCTCCAGAAGGGGCTAGGAGACAGAAAGGGGCGGGCTGACAGAAAAGAAGCATTTTGGGGAACTGACCCATCTCATGTACTTCCTCTCTCCCTACCCTCCACCTCCACCCCCACCCCAGTCTCTCTCCTTTTCTCTCAGAGTAGGCTGTGCGTCAGTTCCGGGAAGGTGGGGACATTTCCTGAGGCGTTTACAACACCCAGAAGTTGTCCTAAGGGAGGCCGAACCCCATTCAGCACACCAGGCCAGGAAGGTTAGGACCCGGCCCTGGGCCGTCCTGCCGTGGAGACGCCCCCAAAGCCCCGTGTACCAGCAGCTCTCTCGGCTGCCACCTGGGCTTCACCACCATGTCCCTGGCTGAGGCCATCAGCCTGTGGAATGAAGGGGTGCAGGCAGCTGACAAGAAGGACTGGAAAGCGGCCCTGGATGCCTTCAACGCAGTTCAGGACCCTCACTCCCGCATCTGCTTCAATATCGGCTGCATGCACACCATCCTGGAAAACATGCCTGAGGCCGAGAAGGTGAGTGGTGGGGGCTCTCCCTGCCTGCCGGTGCCCTCCAATGACTGCTCTCAGCCCAGCTGCATTTTAGAGACCTTGCCTCTGGGGAGCTTTAAAGGCACAAAAATTGTCCAGGCCCCACCCCCAGAGGTCCTGGTTTAATTGTTCTGGGGAGGGACCTGGCAGCCACAGCTGTAAAAGCTCCCCAGAGTTGCAAGTTACATTCTCCTTTCTTCTCCATCTACTAAACTCAAAACCTTCTGCAATTATTCTTTAACACCTTTATGAAGACTCTCTTAGTTACATTTTCTTGTACATTTCTCTGCTGGACATAGGATCCTGTCTCACCTCTGTGCAGCTGATCATAGGCACCTCTGCGACCATCCAAGAATTTCAGGTGTGTCGGCTTTGCCTGCCCAAGAGACTGAGGAGAAACACTTATGAAAAGGGGGTTTCATCCCAGGGTGATGATTCTAGCCAGTTATGCAGGCATTTGTTTAGGGGTTCTGAGACTGCCAAAGGAAATCACATTGTGATTGATTACTGATGTCTGACGAAGGCATGGTGTGAAGTGTCTTAGCAATTTTTATCTCTTCAATATCCTACTATAGAGTCAAACACTCTCAGTAATCACATTTTTGGATTGCTCATTGTAATGTGAAAAAGGCATGGAGTTTGGAGGAAGCAGAAAGTCTGGTACTATATCCCAACACTACCTTCCTGGGCCTTTAGTAGCAAGCCACATAAACTTCTGGCTCTCAGCATCTTGAGGGTTTATACATAATGAGGATTAAGTGAGACAGCAATTATTAAAGGGTTGTATAAGTGGACATTGTGGTGTACAGCTCTGTAATCCCAGCTACTTGGGAGACTGAGGCAACCTAGCAAAAACCTGTCTCAAAATAAAAAATATAAAAGGCTAGAGATGTAGCTCAGTGGTAGAGCACTTGCCTAATATGTTCAATCCCCACTATTGGAAAAAAAAATGGTGTGTGTTTCACATCACTGCACAGAAGTTCTTATTCGCACCTTTCTGCCAGCTTTGCGTGGTGCTCTGTAGACTGACTCCCCGGGCATGCTTGATGACACAGTTCGTTCACCAGTCTTCCTGTGCTGCCGGTGAGTGAGCCCCGGCACATCCTCCGGGAAGAGGCAAGTGACTTGAAATGCACTCGCATGTGACAAGTCAGTTTCTGGCCCCCAACAGGCGCAGGTGCGGACGTCCACCTCCTGCGGGAGGAGGGACCACCAGGCCAGCGGGGCTGTCACTGCCACCTTGGCCTGAACGTGGATCCTGTGGCCATCACACCCCTCTTTTGCTTACCTCCGCCCTCCTGCCCTGGGGGTCTCCCCGTAGTCCTCTGCTGAGGCCCCCTCACTCTCTCCGCCCTGCCTGGTGTCCTGCTGGAGTCCTCATACTAGCCCTTCATATATATCTTTCTTGTCTTCTATTATTTCAATCATGTGCTGTTTTGTATTATAAGCAAATTAGTTTACGTTTTATACTATTTGGATTTTGACTCTGCCATTAATCTGGAAAGGCAAATAGTAGCATCCCCATTTCACAGAGGGGAAAGTGGGGGAGGTGTCCTGCTTCGCAGTGAGGATATAATGACTGGGGAGTTCTGACCCAGGGGTCTGTGCTGTCCTCCTGTTTCCCAAAGGCCCGCATTGTTCTCGAACCCCTTTTTGACTCACCCTTGGGCTCATCCCTCACCTCCTCACTGGCCCTGGCCTTCTCTCCACAGGCCTTCACTAGAAGCATTAACCGGGACAAGCACTTGGCCGTGGCTTACTTCCAACGAGGGATGCTCTACTATCAAATAGAGAAGTAAGTGGTCCGATGTTGCCCACACCAGGGACGTCTAAGAGAAATGCAAGGGCCCTCAGTCCTGCTAGGCCGGGTGTTGGGTAAGGATCTTCTGGCCTCTGTTGGGAAGGAAGCTTGGCGGGACAGGACCTTCTGCAGAACGAGGGAAGAAATGAGCGTGGCAGGCAGGGGCGTACTGGGGAGAGAAGGCACGTGAGCCCCAAATTGTAAGATAGCAGTGGCATCCTCACAGCATGCCTCGCACACCACCGTGGCCCTGCTGACAGCCAGCAAGGAGCCCTGCTAGTGTCCCTGAGGGGTCACTCATGGTGGCCTCCTATTCTGATGTACTGAGCTGTCTCCAGAAGAGGATTATCTGGAAATCACACCAAACCCTGGCTTCATCCCAGCAAAATGCACTTTCAAACCTGGTTTAATACATTGAATGAAATATAAATCAGCCACAGAAATGAGAATACAAACTATTACCAGTATAAGAATAAATTAATACAGGTAAATAACTGATACATACATATACATAGATATATAGAGAGAGACAGAGAAAGAGAAAGAGTTCACAGTAGATGTCAAAGTTTAAAAACAGATTTCAAGACAGTGCACATAGCAAATCTCATTTGTTTCACAGAAGAAAGACTACAGACCAGAGACCAAATTTATTGGTAATACTTTCCAGATGATAGGGTGATAGATCTATTTTCTTCTATCATCCTATCTGTATCTTGTAATATGTTCACAGTCAACATGAACTAATTAGTAAAAAGATAAATTAAAAAGGAAAGTTAATTTCAATTCCCACTCTTCCCTCTAATGCCCAAAGAACAAATCTATAAATAACAAAGAAAAATATTCTAAGTGTGAATTTCAAATGTTTTCAAATGGCAAATTGGCCCTGCATAGAAATTGTTCCATCAGTGGGCGCACATTCTGGGGAAAAGGAATTTGGCTCTGGCTGATGAAGATCTTTCTCACAGCAGAACTGGTCCAAGCATGGCTGTGTTGGGGTGCAGGTGCGCAGGGCACTAAGGGGGTTCGGAAGGCCGCAGCAGATGGGCAGGCAGGGGGAGGGGCTGGGCCTTGGAAGGCTTTGATCCTAGGCTTTGGTCAGAAACGCAGCTGTAAAACCAGGTTCTCCACTGTTGCTAGGAGCAACCATAGGCACTCAGAGAACTTCATAGATGTAGATGTAGTCTATTACCTGAATGGATAAGAGCAGAAGCAAAGTCTTCCCAAAATAAAAACCGTAGACACAGAAGCAATCAGGAGACAGTGCCTGGAGTTGAGGGAAGATGAAGGGTGTATACCTTCATCACCACCTGGCCTCTGTCTGACCGCCTACCTCCCTGCTTGACATCCTTCTTTCTTTCGCCCCCTCCTGCATCTTCTGTATTATCCAGACGTACAGAATGCACAAGGAGGCCAAGCACAAATCCTGCAGCCTGTTTTGCATCTCAGAAGACAAATTCTAAGGCCATCCCTTTAATTAGCTCTAATGACCTATAATGCAGAGAGACAATAGAAAAAGAACAGCTTCGGGAAGGATTTCCCGCAGGAAAATGCTCACAAGTTCCAGAGCCTGGAAGGCTAAGATTTTTAATGAGCTAGAAAGATCTAAAGGTAAGACTCAGGACTCGGCTAGTCTGGCTCATAATAGTTAAATCCAAGAAAAACATCTGCAAGATTTAAACTTATAGTTCAATAGCTCTCTAAGAAAGAAATCAGAAATGAGGAACTGCTCTCCACCCACCCCTAGCTGGCTCCTTTTCTTTTGCCCAACCGGTAGGTATCAGTATTGTTCCTGCCATTCTCTTCTTAACTCTGTTCTCTTGTGTGACTACAGCAGGGGTTGTTTAACGGCAAAATGCATGGACTCCATCCCCAGAAGTGACATACAAGCACACACATTCTTACATGTAAATTTTGGGGGATATGGATATGGAAGTCCATATGGGAACCTTAAAGACCCATTTTTGGGCAAGGGCACCCTCTTCTAAAGTACTAATCTCCATTTGTAACCACCTACCTCCTAACTGTACCTAGGATCAGCCCAGAACATTCCTTGTGTGAAACCTTGTCAAGGTGACATCATAAATCTATTTCTCTTCATTCCTACTGGCACAGCCCTCATCAAAACCCTCACTTTTCACCAGTGAAAATTGCACAACGGCCGTCACTTCCAAACTGATTTCCCAGTCACCAGTGTTGTAGCCTTCACCCATATTTTAGAGTGATCTTAATAACTCCATGTGATGAGCTTGAGAACTTCCGGAGGCTCCCATTGCTACAGGATGAAGGCCATGTCTCCTTGTCTGCTCCTCTGTGGTCCAGTGGCTGCCACCCACTCACTCATCCCCCCTGCCCGTGCTCCTCCTACCACACTCACCCCCAAGACCACACACCCCCTCTCTTCTGCCCCTTATTATAACATCGGTCTAGCCTATGACAGATATTTTTGATAGTTGTCTCTTTCACTACCACCCTGTAAGTGCCTTAGGAAAAGAAATTTGTACACACACATGCTGATATCTCGGTAAATAGATAGATATTGGTTACTCAGTACATGCTTGTTTAATTAACACAGTGGAAAGGTAGCTCTGCTTTAAGAAACTTATAGGTTCAAAGGGGGAAACAACTCACCGAGACCAGTAAGTGTGATGCAAGCCAGCGCTAGGCATATGCTGTACGCCCCGTTTCTTGATGGGTGCGCCATGGGGAATGGGAGAGGGCCCTTCCCACTGCGTGGCTTAGGGTCCCCCCAGGTGAAATGGGACTTGAGCTGGGGGATGGTGTCATGGATGATGCTTCTCTGTGTAACCTCACTCTCCTATGTTGCTGTGTGGTTTTTCCATCATCATAAAGTTCCAGCAGAACAAAGTTACAGCATATTTCTAAGGAGGAGAGTGGCACCTCAGGGATGACCAGGCCAAGCTGTCTCACCTCTCAGGAAAGGGAGGGGACTCTAACTTGTCTTTCAGATTCTATGCTTCCTGAGTCAGGAATCTTAGGATGGTGAAAATAAAATAGTGGTGAGACCCTGCAGACTGATCTGGCTTAAGAGACAAGCCGGAGAAGGCTGGGGCTGAGCCTATGACCCAGCAGCTTCGCAAAGGCACTGGGCCTGGGACTCACCCCTTGCTGTGATCAGTTTCCTGGAGGCAGGCAAAGGAGCTGCAGGATTCCAGGCTGCACGGGCACTGGTAGCTGAGGAACAAGCAGAAACTTCAGGGGTTACTAGGAGACCTCTGCAAGGCCTGTTACAAAAATGATTATGAACCCTCCCAAACTGGGAGCTGTGAAAAGTCACAGCAAGATGTATGCTTCTGCGGGGAACCCCTGCCCGAGAGAGCGGGGTCAGTACAGCCAGGGTGCCCCACAGGGTGTCACTGGGCGTGGGTGTGCAGAGAACCAGGGGCAAGCAGGGCTGCTTGGCTGGCACAGAGAGAACTGTGAAGAAGGGCAACAAGGAGCAAAGTCTGTGCCCGCCCGCAACGCTCAGGGCTGACCGCTGCTTTGGGCTTTGCACGCTGACCTTGCTCAGACTTGTGCTGTGTGTCAAAGCAGCCCCTTCCCCACCGTACACGATAGGTGCACCTCGGGCCCAACACTGGGAGGTTCAGTAAAGGCCCACAGATGTGCTCAAAGACGCTTTATAAATGGACCCTTCGAAGGGACATCTCACCGTGTTTCATCACACAAAGCAGACCCTGAGTAATTTCTCTACACCTTCTCCCTTCCAGGGGGCCCAGGTCTCTCCCACATCTTGTTGGGCTAGAGGATTATAGGGAGGATTTTGTGGCCTCCTGCAATGCCAGGTAGACACAGATGGGTCTCTTCGTAGTGGAAAGCCATCTGCTTAACCAGCTTGGCCGGGAGGAGGTACATTTGTGGGTTAATGCCTCGCGTACTTTGAGCACACCCTCTGGGATTCCCGCCTGCCTCCAGTCAGGCTGTGGGAGGAGCACAGTGGGAATCAGAGGGGAGGCAACAGGACACTTCAGCTTCCACCTGCTCCTCCTTCTTGGCCCAGCGAAGCCATCCAGCTACCCAGGCTTTCCATTTAGAAACCCGCGATGCCTGCCTTCTCCTCCTCTGGATGACCTGAAAGACGTAAGACAACGACTTGAATCATTGCTTCCTAAAGAACGGCCTGCTTCTAATCCATGTTACAGTTGTCCTTGTTAAGCGCAGGGATACCAGGGAAGGCCATCTCCCTGTTTAAACCTGGCTGTCCTCTCCCATCACTCCTGTAGCCACTGCAGCAGCCTGATGGTGAGCTACTTCAGACCTAATGGGACAGCAAGTCCAGCTTCTCCCCGAAACACCTGGGGTCTGCATCCCCCAGGACACTGAGGCAACCAGCCCTCCTGGGCTCTAAGCCTCTGTGGGCTGTCCAGGGAGAGCCACAAGAGTTCTAACTTCTACACATTTATATTTTTTAAATCTCTTGATGATACCTAATGGGTGTGGCATATCAAGCTTTTAAAAAGCATGAGAGAAATGATTGGCGCATGGGTTTAATTGGTAGAGTTTAAAGCTGAAAAATAAAGGAATTACTGTGTACACTAGGCACTCCCTGCACACCTGAATGCATGATCTCATTTAGTTCTCACAGCAGCCCTGTGAGGCATGTACTATTTTTATCATTCTCTTATTCAAGAGATGAGGAACCAGACCTTAGAGAAGTGACGTAACTTGCCCAGGTGTAAGTGAGGTAACCAGATGTAAACGGCAGAGCCGAGGCTCAGGCTCAGTTGGTTTTGACTGCAGAAACTGGATCTGGGACCGCCTAGTAGCAAGCTTCTCTTATTATACACTCTTTGTGTATAATACGCTCCTTGAATACAGTATGATCCCACATTATTGACCAGGACCTGAGGCCACAGAGTAACTGCTGGAGCCTCCCAGGTGTGACAGGCCTGCTGGATGTGGTCCCTGGCCCCTGGCTCCTAGCTTAGGGTGCCTTCCTGTGCAGCAGTTCCTCCTGAGGATTCTTGCCAACCTGTGTCCAAATTCCAGGCTCTTCTCTAGGAGAAGCCTGGAGGGATCAGAGAGTGGCCTAGGGCCTTTTGGCCTAGTTGTTTCCAGGTAAGAGCCACAATCAAGCAGCCAAATCTGTCCCTGCCAGGCCAGAGGCTGAGCAGAGTAATGGGTTGGGTAGCTGGTTTTTGGTGTTCCTCATTCCCTACAGCCCAGCAATGGGTGCCTCCCCACAGCACAGCTGGAGGTCAGAGTTGGGCCTCTGCCCTGGTCACCTCCTCAGGAGTGTGGTCCTAGGTCCTGCTCACACCCTTTGAACCTCGTTGATGTGCCCAGCACCCGTTCTCTCCCGCAATCCCAAGCACAGCAGTCCTAACAGTTGCTGGGCCAGGCTGGTCTGACCTTGCAGGAGCAGGGGGTGGGAGGATATGAGCAGCCAGCAGTTTTCCAAATCAGCTCCGAGACTCTGTAGGGACCCAAGGTGGGCAGGTGTGGCTCTGCTCAGAGTCCTCAAAAGAGAATGCAGACTGTATTTGAAGGGGAAAAACCAGGTTGCCAGAAAAGTGGGAGTTATGTTCTGTCCACGAGAAGAAAATCTTTGTGTCTATCTCAGACTGGAGGCCTGGAGAGGCCAGGCTGGGATGCACAGCCTCATGGGGGAGGTTCACACAGTGTCCAAGGAGTCCTTGGTTTCAGGGTTACTGAAAACTAGAACAGGTCACTAGAAAATAAAAAGGCTTTTTCTCCCGGTGAGATGGGTGGGGAAAGGAGAAGCAGAGGCACTTTTTATTCTGCATTTGTTCCTCCATGTTCTGGACTGGTTTATTGTTTTCCTCTGTCCTGCAGATATGACTTAGCCATCAAAGATCTTAAAGAGGCCTTGATTCAGCTCCGAGGGAACCAGCTGATAGACTACAAGATCCTGGGGCTGCAGTTCAAGCTGTTTGCTTGTGAGGTAAGAGGCAGGGCCGGCCCAGGCAGGCGCAGATTTCTGTTTGCTGACACTTGCAGCGGCTTGTGAAAGTCTCCTGGCGTCCTATGCCTTGAGGTCAGATTTTCCCTTAAGAGAAGCTTCAGATGGGCTGATGGTACAATTCATTGGAAGACTGCTTGCCTCGGGTTCACCTCCAGCTCCACAAAAAGTAAAAAGCAAGAATTGGGTGACTGCAGGATGATCATAGAGTCAGTAGTCGGTGTGAATCTTAACAGGCTCAAAAGGCCATGCAAAATGAGCCCGCTGGGCTCTCCTACGGGAGATGACACGAATGTGCTCCCTATGAAAGTATGCATAATAATTTGTGTGTTTCACTTAACAATTTAGGTTGACAAACTATTGGCTCAGCATCATACTGAGAAATCCAAAATCACGAGCTCACTCTCCATGTAGCACCTGATGTAACCTCTCTGTCTCCAAGTGGCAGATCACACTTTTCAATATTAATGGTTCTTGGCCTAGTACTTAGTTGATGCCCAAAGACAGAGGGAAGATAATTTGGCACAAATCTGCCGCCTCTTGTTCAAACAACAGCTCACTGCACAAATATAGGTCAAAGTTTCTGTGGAAGGACTTCTTTTCTGTATTACCAAAAGGGAGAGACATGACTGCCTTTGCCTTAGTGGGTTCATGGACTTTTCCCAAACAACCTTCCCTCCCCTCCCCAACCCTCATACCAGCAGCTTTAAAAAACTAAAATCCCTGCAGACGTCAGGGATCTTTATTTAGAAGAATTGCTGAAAAAAGTCCCTTTGCTTTAGTTTCTCAGGCATAAGACATATTCCCAGGGTTTCTCAGGGCTAAACATAGAGTCCACAGCTGCCCAGGGCCCCTGGGGACATAGGGTCCCATCCCAGCCTGACAGCAGGCTTGCAACTTTCTCCATTTCTCACAGTCTGGGCAGAGGAGGCTTTGCGTTAGGAATTGGCTGGCATTTGACCAGATTCCAGAGGAAAGTTTCTCAGCCATGGTACCACTGATAGGTTGGACTGGACATTCTTAACTGTAGGAGTTGTCCTGTGTTCTGTGGGGTCTTTGGCAACATCTCTGGCCTCTACCCACTAGATACCAGTAGCACTCCATCCTTGGTTATGATGACCAAAACTGCCTCCACTTATGCAGATTAAAGGCTTGGGGGACCAAGTAGGTCTGGGGAAAAGATCAGAACTCCAGGAGGGGAACATCCTCCATGTCGCTTGGGTTGAACTAACCTGATGGACACGAAAGACTGGCTGAGAGGGCTCCTTTACAGGTGGAGCTTTAGCTCTCAGTGTCTAAGACCCTCTATGCTGCGGGATCCACTACTTTTAATTTTGTTCCTCTTCTCACCATGGTGTAACCTTGGCTTCTGAGAAGCCACACCTCTTGTTGAGGAGTCTCAAGGTTTCTCTAGTGACCCAGAGATAAAATCTTATTGAGGGAAAAAGTCTCAAGAGAAGGTGACTGAGAACCAAATAGGAACTCTGCAACCACCTTGAGTTCTTATTTTTGTACACAGGGCTAAGACAGGCAGCCAACCATGTATAGATGTTTCTCTGCTTATGGCTACAGGTTATCTAGATAAACTCATATTAAATTTAAAATATCCTAAATTAGGCTGGGTGTGGTGGCACACACCTGTAATCCCAGTGCTCAGGAGGATCACTGTGAGTTCAAGGCCAGCCTGGGCTACATAGTGAGTTCAAGACCAGCCTGAACTACATAATGAGACCCTGTCTCAAAAAAACAAAACAACAAAAAATCCTACATTGAAAATGTGTTTAATGCATCTGACTGAACTTCACAGCTAGCAACACAGTATGGGTTGTAGGTCGCTGGTCGTCTGTCCTTGCTTAAAGATGCTGCTGCCCATATTGCAAGAGAAGATCATAGTGCATATTGCTAGCTGGGAAAAGATCAAAACCTAAAATTTAAAGTACTGTTTTTGTAGTACTTTTGCACCATTGAAGAGTCAGAAAATCCTAAATAGAGCTGCGTACAGAGGCACATGACTGTCATCCCAGCTATTTGGGAGACTTAGGCAAGAGGATTGCTAGTTTGAGATGAGCCTGGGATAGTTTAGTGAGACCCTGGCTCAAAATAAAAAAAAAAAATAAAAAGGGGTGGAGGTGTAGCTTAGTGGCAGAGTGCTTTCATAGTGTGCGTGAGGCCTTGGGTTCAACCCCTCCCCCGTCAGTCTTAAATCAAGCCATCATAAGCCATCTGTATGCAGCAGGCATCCGTTCGGGGATGCTCAAAAATGGGCCTGGAAGGGAGTGTACGTCATCACTTCTGGGCGTGGTCTTGGCCCCCATCATCTAACACCAGCTGTTATCTCCATGGAAACACCAACTCTGCCACCCATCCATGCCTGGCAAGTTAGCATCTCTTGGCAGGAGGCCTCAGCTCTTGCACATGAACTCCTCCCTAGGGCTGCCTGAGTCTTGGCATGCTATGGCCACCAGCTTCCCACAGAACAAAGAACCAAGAGAAGGTAAGGTGGAGTGTCAGGTCTTTTATAGCCCAGTCTGAAAAGTCACACCCCTTCTTTTCCATAGCATCCTTATCCTTCCTACTTTGCTTCAGTCAAATAGGTTTTTAAAAACCTTGCTAATGCAGCTAAAAGATTATTTGAGCTTATGTGTAAGCTGTGAAGCATGATAATAAAACAAATACTCATAACCCCACACCCTAGTTAAAGACCTGCAAAATTATGAAAATTACTCAATTTGCCATTCCCTCCTGCCCCAGGCAAGTGAGCTCCATGCTAAGTCTCTGTCCAGCTCCGCTGAATCCTGTCTGTGGAGTTTCCTCACACACATTGCCATGTTACAGTCTGCTTAACTCGTGTGGCCCAAGCCTGGTTCCGGGGTGCTGCTGCAGGACAGTGTATCTGGAACCCGCTCCTCACCCTGCACCTTTCCAAAGGTTTGACCCAGCCTCCATGGCAGGAGCTGGACTGGGAGGGCACACACCTAATTCTCTTCTCAATTCTGCCTCTTCATGGGGACTTGGACGAGTCATTCTTCTCCATACTAAACCAACACAGCAGTTTTTGTCCCTTTCTCACTAGTTGGCTGCTGGAAGAATACCCATGATGTTGAGTGTATACCTTATGTGATGCTTTTTTAACACCGTGCTTGTGCTTGACCTAACTCAGTAGCAAGACAAATCCTCGATATTTCACATAGTCCCAGGAAAGCTGGGGAAGGCAAAGGCGTCGCCAGGCTGCATTCCCTATGTGTACCTGTGAACCCTTCCCTGGTACTTTGATTCAGCATAGCCTTGAATTGTATGCCTTGGCCTCTGCCTTTGTAGGTGTTGTACAACATCGCTTTCATGTATGCCAAGAAGCAGGAATGGAAAAAGGCTGAAGAACAGTTAGCTTTGGCGACGAACATGAAGTCTGAGCCCAGGCATTCCAAGATTGACAAGGCCATGGAAAGTGTGTGGGTGAGTGTGGCGGCAATGCAGGTGGCGAGAGGACCTCCTCAGGTTCTTACTGGCTTCAGGGGACCCCACAAAGGGGGGCCTTTCCTTTCTGAGAGTTCTGGGAAACATTGCTCTTTCTCCTTTGCTGAGTAGCCAAGCCCTAAAGCTCATATACCTCTTGTCCGGGGCACCGCAGGAAGCAGGATCTGAGTTGTTGGGCAGTGCTGTGCAGCCCCCAAGCACTGTGAGGTCAGAGGCTGTGGGTGTTCATTTCTGAGTCCCAGAGCCTGGCACAGTGCCAGGCACATAATAGCTCTCAGCAACAGTGTATTGATTATATGGGTCAATGGTGAAAATTTCCAGGGACTTGAGTGCAGGGAAGAATGAAACTAGTTTTAAATAAGACTTTTAAAGCACCAAGAAGGAGAGGGTCCAAGGCAGTCTTTACATGGCTCTCCATACCAGCAATGCCAGTCCCAGGGGAGCACTGTCGTGGCTCTGGCTAGGGTCCTGGCCACCCTAAGGGACACTATGTAGACAGGGAGAGAGGCACTGCCCTCTAGGAAAAGAGACCACTGGGCACATAACACTGGCAGATGTCCACATGGTCTTGCAGCACGAGATGGTATTGAAACCAACGGTTCCCACCTTACAGTCGAGAATAATAAGAAGACCAGTCCTTACCAATTTGGAAAAAGTGCTCTCGTGAGGTTATTTCAATGGATCTTACATCATTTGATGAGGGGAGCTGCACAAGTATTATCACCCTGTGTTCAGATTCGGAACTCTAATCACGAGCAGCATAAGGACATCTGGGTGGCTGCATTCAGTGGCGCTGATGCAGTACTAACTGTACCCGTGTTGTCTGCACAGTGAAGAAACCCAGAGACGAGCTGCTAGCATGCTCAGAGCCAGCTGCTAGCACTAAGAGCACGTGACCGCCCGTTGTTTTCTGTGTTACAGAAACAGAAGCTGTACGAGCCGGTGGTAATCCCTGTGGGGAGGCTGTTTCGACCAAACGAGAGACAGGTGGCCCAGCTGGCCAAGAAGGATTACCTAGGCAAGGCCACGGTAGGTGGGAGTGCTTGAGGCTCCTCTGCCCAGGCCGTGTCGCTCCAGGAGGTAGGGGCTCTTGGGAAGAGCTGTCTTCCCCATGGCTCTGGCCCCATGATCACAAGGAGAGGCTGGCTCACAGTGACAAGGTCTGGCTAAAGGACATGCAGATGCCTCTGGCTTGTGTTCTCCAGGCTGCCCACTTCTCCCTGCGGGCCTGCAGTTACTCTCAGGACGCTAAAGCAGCACAAGGTTGAGCCAGGGGGAAGAAGATTCTGCGAGGAGGAGAGAACAAGTTAGGGGAGAGGACGCTCAAGGCATGCCCTGGGCTCCACGCTTCCTGTAGCTCACTTCTCACTGCTGGGAGGACTCTGTCCCTCTCCCACAGCCCTGTGACCAGACTCCTTCCTATACTGGACTCTTTCTGAATCCAGGTCTTAAATCCTTTCAGACAGAGTCCAAAGTGAATCAGCAGTTTCACTCCAAAGCTGAGTTTGACTTTGACACATATTTAGGACTACAGATGTCCACATATCCATCAGTGGATGAATAGATAAGCACAATGTGATCTGCAATGGAGAATTACTCAGCCAAAAAAAAGGAATGAAGCACTGATCTAAGCGGCAACAAGGATGAACCCCGAAAACTCGATGCTGTGCCTAAGAAGCCAGACACAAAAGGCCACATGTTGTACAATTCCTTTTGTTATCTAAAATATTTGAACAGGCAAATCCACAGAGATAGCAAACAAACTCATGGCTTCGAGGCCCTGGGGAAAGAGGACTGTGGATTAATTGCTTAATGGTACACCATTTTCTTTTGGGGTGAGAAACAATGTTTTGAAACCCGATAGAGGTGGTGGCCGTGCACCACTGTGGGTGTACTAACTCATTTACTTAATATGAGTTTCACTGTAATAAAAAAATTTCTTTTTGGAGAGGAAGAGTGAGCTGGATTATTGGAGGTGAGGTGAGAACTAGTTTCTTTGGTTCTGAAACTTTAGTATAGAAAATGAGTAACCTAATCCTTAGCCACCTCTCCTTCTGCCACCGGCACAAGTGAACATGGATCTGCAGCATGAGAAAAGAGGAAATCTTAAGATGGGAAAACAGGCCCGCAGAGCCCTCACACCCTGCTGTCTTCATTTCAGGTTGTGGCATCTGTGGTGGATCAAGACAGCTTCTCCGGGTTCGCCCCTCTACAGCCGCAGGTGAGTGGTCCTGCCCTGCTGCCTGGAGCTAATCTCCAGAGATGTCTGGGAAACACCCCCAGGGAGAACTGTGCTGAGCTGCCCTTACAAGACAGCTTACAAGAGGGCTCCTTGCCGGCTACTCTGTGCTGCTGAAGGGACTGCCTGCCCATTTAGTCCCAGTGTCCACGGCCAGTCAGGATGACAGCCATGTCAGCTAATCTCATGTCTTCACCCCTCTAAATTCTAATGGATCTGTTGTCTTGTGAAGCCTTGACCATTCCCTCAGAAAACTGAGATGCAAGCTGTAGAAACACCCGCTCCCAGTACTGGGGATTGAACTGGGGATGCAGTGGGGCTTTGCACCAAGCTACATCCCCAGCCCCACCTCCCCACTTTTGAGACACTGTCTTATAGATTACTAAATTGTCCAGGCTGGATAAACCTTGTGATCCTCCTGTCTCAGCCTCCTAAAGTGTTGGATTATAGCCATGCACCACCAAGGCCAGCTTGTGGAAGGCTTTTTAATAAGCCTGGGGCTTGAGGACTTAGGCTTTCCTGGCCCCATTTATTTGCTTCTCTGTAGGGGATTTTCTTGGCAACACTAGTCGGGTGCCAGAGGGACTCATTTTTCAGACCCAAATGTGCTCGGAGAGATGGTCTCAGATGAGTAGAACGGTGGTGAATCTGGAAATGAAGACCTAGGGACTGATTGTCCTAGGAAATAAAGTCCTAGGGACTAGAGGAGGGTAACATAAGAGCCCTACTGCAGTGGCCTCGATGGGCAAGGGCAGGGGCAGCACAGCAGAGGGAGGTGTGCTGAGCATGGACACTCCCTGGCCCCTGCCCAGGACAGCACTGACCACCTCGCTAGGTCAGCATGATCACTGCTGGGCCAGAGTGGGACCAGCAAGAAGGATAACGGAGCGCCAGGGTCCAGACTCCTTCTGCTGTTCCTTCATAATAAAGTTGAAGAAAACCCAAGGGCCTTGACGTTCAGTTCAGCCAAAGGACCACAAGAGGGAAAAGAAGCCCAGCTAACTAGACTCCAAGATACGCAGTGTAGAAACAGGAAATCTGTATTGGAAGAAAATTCTGGCCTGGCCAGTGGGCCCTGAGTTGATTTTAAACACCCAGAATTGTCATGTGATAGAGCAGACATTAATTATAGAACAGAGCTTTTGGAAACTGTCCTGGGAAAGGGACAGAGCTCAAGGTCAAAGCACTCCCTGACACCACATTGCTGTGTGACAGCTAACCTTCTCCAGAAGCCAGCTCTGGCTCAAGTGGAAGTGCTGTGCTGGCGAAATCACTGCCTGGGGAGCTGGTGGGAGGTGTTATTTTCCAAGGTTTACTCAGGATGCACTGTGCCTTCTCCCTAGGCAGTGTTCCCGTCAGCCAGAAATGCAGCCTTTGATTTTCTGGACTGGAAGAATGCTCACATTACCATTAACGGTCTGCTCTCTCCCTCCCCCACTGTCCTCCCTTCTTCATTTCTCCTGAATGTTCCATAGGCAGCCGAGCCTCCACCCAGACCCAAAACCCCAGAGATCTTCAGGTAAGTTAGATTCAGATCCATATGCAGAGTATCCAACTCCATGCTGGAGTTGATGGCAATAACAGGGTAAAGAAGATGAAGCTGGCTCTAAATCTGTGGACTTTTCTAGAATGGGAGGCTCCTTCTGTTTGCAAGGTTACAACAGAATAATGCAGTGAGGATGGAGTCTTGGCTTTTGTGGAGCTGACCAGCAGGGCCTTGTTACAGCTACATCGTGTCCCCAGGTCCCCACGTCAATGTGCATAGCAACTCACGTGGTGAGAGCTTGTGGAAGTGCAGCAGTTGGTGTGGGAAAAAGTCCAAGGTCAGAGGCTAGCTTTGTGCTGGCATCAGGGCCCCTCAGAAGAGGGTGAGGCTACAGCTCTCTTGACAGGAAGCTACAGTGGTGTCCCCTTTCCTGCCTGGGTGTTTCTCACTCCATTGGCACATGTTCTCTGAAGCAGTAAGAGGAAGGATGCAAGAAAAGGAAGTCATTCTTCTGTAAGATGGAAAGCAACATGACACAACCTACAGTTTTCTTAAGAATTCCCTCCAAGTAGCAGAAGAAACCTACTTATCTCCTTAGCAATGAAAGAGCTTAGACAAAAGTGAAAAGTAGCTACAAAAGTGAGAAGGCTGGGTGAGCGCCCTGGAGCTGGAGGAGTCTGTATCCCTTACACAGCAGATGGGATGTTTGGAGACAGAAGAAAGGGCCGAGGGTAGGGTAAGCAGAGGGAGCCTGAAAACCACATGGGACAGCCTTAAGCCAGCCTCGTTCACACATCCCACCATGGCACGAAGCAGCAGCGCCAGAGTGTGGAGGAGTGAGGTGGGTCTCGAGGAGTCAGGAAATGGCTCTGCCCTGCACACAGCAAGGCTGCTGGGAGCCCTCTGTACACAGCCCTCATACTGCTCACGGCTCACCTCTTGCTCTTCATCTCTTCCCCATACCTGGCCCATGATGTCTCCCACCTCTTCCCCATTCATCTTTCTCACTCAGCTTCCACCTGTGCCTTTCCTTTCACCCTACTCCCCCAACCCACCCAGTGCATGTGTGGGACCTGGCCAATTTTATCCAACTCGGAACTTCTGCCCCAGAAGGGAAGGGAGAGTAGGGACTGTCAGCTTCACTATCTTGTGTTGTTTTGGTGTTTTGTTTTTTTAAAAATCCTTGTCCCACAGCATATACGGTCGTCTCCCTTTATCTGCAGTTTTACTTTCTGGGGTTTCCGTTCCTGTAGTCTACCACAGTTGAAAAATATTAAATGGAAAATTCCAGAAATAAAACATAAGTTTTGAATAGTGCCATTCTGAGTAGCATGATGAAATCTCACACTTCCTGCTCCCTCCCACTAGGGACATGAATCATTCATTTGTCCAGCACACTAGGCTCTACGTGTTACCTGCCCCTTAGGCACTTAGTGGCCATCTGTCTATGCAATAAAGAAGGTCTGTTGTGCTATCACGGTGCTTCTGTTCAAGTAATCCATATTTCATTTAAACTGTCCAAAGTGTAAGAGTTTTGCTATAGAGGAGAAGCAAAGAACTTCCTCACAGTGAAAAGGTGGAAGTTCTCGACTTACTAAAGAAAGGGAAAAAAAACATATGCTAAGATTGCCAAGATCTATAGTAAGAAAGAATTTTCTACTTGTGAGATTTTGAAGACAAAAGAAATTTGTGCTGGTTTTGCTGTCACACTTCAAACTGTAAAAGTTACAGCTACGGTGTATGGTAGTGTTTAGTTCAGTTGGGGAAAGCATTACATTTGTGTGTAGGTGTAAGAAAAAACAGTATAGTGAGGCTTCAGTGCTATAGGTAGTTTCAGGTATCCCCCTTGGGATCTTGGATCCTAACCCCTGTGGAAAATGGGGGTGGGTGGCAGTTGGTAGTAGAATCTTCTGTGTTTACGCAGCATCCTCACATGCACTTTCTTGCCAAGTCCCTTTAGGAGGCCAGGCAGGTCACATGGTCAGGTAGATGTGGAGCTAGAGTGACCCTGGAGCCAATTCTGTCTCATTATTCTGGTCCCACAGCACCAAGTGAGAGGATATGGTCCAAGCTAAACAGTGGGCTAGGTCTTCTGTCTCCCTTCCCGCAGGGCTCTGGAAGGGGAGGCTCACCGGGTGCTGTTTAGGTTTGTTCCTGAGACACCAGAGGAGCTCCAGGTCATGCCAGGAAACATCGTCTTTGTCTTGAAGAAGGGCAATGATAACTGGGCCACGGTCATGTTCAATGGGCAGGTATGCAGAGGTTCAGGGGAGGTCCTAAGCGTATGGGACCTGGTGGTAAATGGCAGAACTTCTGTTGAAGTAATATCTGCTACCTTATTTGCAGATGAGCCAAGTGTTTTGGTCTGTCGTTGTCCCTCCCCCTACGGCTCGGGGCTGTTGCATGGCAGGGGCACTGATGATTATAACTCTGTTTTCCCCCTTCTGATTCCATGACGCTGCACTGCAGAAGGGACTTGTTCCTTGCAACTACCTTGAGCCAGTTGAACTACGGATTCATCCTCAGCAGCATCCCCAGGTAACAAAGTGCCTGACCCATTTCCTCCCACTGTGGCAGATCTCTCTTTGGAGGGGAGAAAAGTAGCACGGAAGAGGTTCTGTCACTCAGTAAAGAAAGACTTGTTGGTCCTGGGCCAGTTGAGCTGGCACTAGCTGCTCAGAGTTGAACCTGCGGACAAGGGAGAAGTCCCAAATGTGCTGAGTGCAGGGTCCGCTGGGCCTGCCCAGCTCTGTGACTCCTCCTGGGCAGGGTGGCTTGGGACTCAAAGCCTACCAGGATTTTGAGGGTTAGTCCTCCTCACATGTGTCTCCTTTACCAGGAAGAACCGCCAATGTGTTAGTGCGGTGCCATTAAAAACAAATAAGATCTGTCTTAACACTGTTGAATCAGAATGGGCCTTGGCAGGCACTTTTTCTGAAGCTGTCACCACCTCCGCCAGCCTCCTCCAAGAGCCTACCCTTCTGCCAGGCCTAGAGAGTGCTCTCTGTTGGATCTGAGCAGCTCTGTAAATGATCTGATGGCAGCAGAGCCTCTCTTCCCATGCTGTGGGATCAGCACTTCCTGGTGCTTTGCAGTATTCCAATACCGTGAAATGAGAAGCAGAATTTCCCTTTCTCAGTTCTCTCCTCGGTTGAGACAGGAGTGTAGAATCCTATCCTCTCTCCAGGGTATTTCCAAGCGATGGTAAGGTGGCAAGGGTTTAGGAGGCAATTGTGAAGGTCCTTTCTACTGTGACTTTTATTGTCTTCAGGCTACACTTTCCTCCCCTTTGAATCAGTATGTTTTCCTAGCATTTCTCAGATGTCATGACCACTCTAGCTTTTAGAAAGTCATCTGCACCTGGCTCCTTTCCCCTTGGCACTGTCCTGAGAACTCTGTCTAAATGAAGACTCTGGCTCTCTTCCTGTCCCCTCTAGGAGGAAACCTCCCTGGAACCCGACATCCCACCTCCTCCCAGTTCCAATGCCCCAGGGAGACCCCAGCTGTCACCAGGTTAGTGGCCTTGGAGCAACAGCACAAGCCTGGTTGAGGAATATTTCAGGCCGGCTTCTGAATGAGAGTGGTTTGCCTAGCTTTCCTGGAAATTGTGCTTTCTTCTCCCAGTGTGCCTCTCAGTTTATTACCCCTCAATGCCAAAGCCCCGCATTCTCACACTAGCTACCCATCCCAAACATGAAGTCAGGGTCCCTTCCCCCTGCCTGCTCCAAAACACACATGGGGCGTGGTTGAACGGTGGTTTCTGAGGGACAGTGAGTGTCCCCTCTCAAGTAGTCACCAAAGCCCTTATTTGTTAAGTACTGAAGTCATGCTCCTGAAGAAAAGTTGCTGTAATTGTATGTTTTTACGCCAGAGGGGCATGGCATGGCTCTTTTCAAATGTCTGAGGAGCTATATCTGGAGAAGAAACCACTCCCGCAGTCCTGGGAGGGTGTAGGGTGGGAAAGAACCAATGGGAGATGTGAAAGGGAGATTTTTCTCCCTATAAGGATCTTGCCTGACTGTCTGGGGAAGTAATGGGCTTTCTGTCACTAGTGCAATTTAGGCAGATTTCATACCAGCCTATACCCCCACCAACAGTGGAGAAGGGTTCCTTTTCCCCCACATCCCCAACATTAGCATTTGTTATTAGTTGACTTTCTGATGATAGCCATTCTTTCTGGAGATGGAATCTCAGTGTTGTTTTAATTTGCATCTCTTGAATAACCCAGTGATGTTAAACATTTTTTCATACATTTATTTGCCATTTCTACTTCTTCATCTGAAAAGTATATATTCATCTCACATGCCCATTTTTGGATCGAGTCTTTAAATTTGGGGGTATCTGATCTTTTTCAGTTCTTTATATGTTCTAGGTATTAGGCCTTTGAGGAACAACTGGCTAAAATTTTTTCCCATACTGTGCTGTCTTGGTTACTTTTCTCTCGTTGCTGGGACAAAATACCAGACGCCCAAAATTAAGGAAGGAAAGGTTTATTTTGCTTACAGTTTGTGGAGGTTTCAGTCCGTACTTGGCAAATTACAAGGCAGAGTGGCACATGGCAGAGACCTACAGCTCATGGTAGCAGAACACAGCAAAGCAACAAGCACAAAAGCCAGGAATGGCCCCAAGCAGCCTCTTCCTCTCCCTTACATGTGCAAACTATCCACCCCAGGGTGGGTGCAGCTCTCACACCCATAATCAATCAAACTCTAAAAGCCCACCCCATGACCCCATGAGGCTTTGGGGCGACACCCAGACACAAACCATAACATGTGGGTTGTCTTTTCACTCTGTTGGTGATTTCTTTTGCTGTGCAAATTTTTAATAAGATGAGATCTGGTTGATTCTTTGTATCAGAATCCATAGTTGATTTCATTTTCCATGCAGCTGGGGTTTTGTTCATTAAGTCTTTGCCTACATCAGTGTCTTCAAGAGTTCTACCTATTTTATCTTCCAGCAGATTTAGTCTTTCTGTTTTAATATTTAGATCTCTGATCCATTTTGATTTTAGTTAAGTGCATGGTGATAGACATGGGTTAGTTTTAGTGTATGGCATGTGGGAAGCCAGTTTTTCCAGCACCACTTATTCCAAATGAATTTTAGGAATGTTTTCTCTAGTTCTGGTTGGTATGCTAGTGGTATTCTGATTTGGATTGCATAGACTGGTACAACAACTGTGGAAATCAGTGTGGAGATTCCTCAAAAAACTAGAACTAGAGGTCCCGTGTGACCCAGCTATTCCCCTCCTTGGTATCTTCACAAGAGAATTAAAAACATCATACCACACCAATATATGTGCACCTATGTTTATGGCGGCACAGTTTGGAATAGCTAAATCTTAGAAAAAATGCAAATGCCCATCAACTGATGAATGGATAAAAAAGATGTGGTTTTTTTTATACGTTGGAGTACTACTCAGCCAAAAAGAAGGATAAACTTGAGACATTTATAGCTAAAGGGATGGACCCTGAGACTATACTCTTAAGCAAAATAAATTGGACAAATGTATAACTGTAGCATTGTCTCTCTGGTGCAAGAGACTGAAAGTGTAAGTAAGAACCAAAATGTATAATAGGTATTGTGAAATAGGAAGAAATTGTTCAAAAGGAAAGGGGAACTAGAGAGGGGGAGCAGGGAGGAACGAAAAAGAAAAAATGAGAAAAGAAGGAGAAAATGGAAACAAAGCTTTTGTAAATGAGGAGGAGAATAGGGGTTGAAGGGAGGGGAAGGGAATGGAAAAAAAGGAATCAAGACATATATATCAGGACAAATTCTCTATGATGAACGTGATCATTAAATCTAAATTGTATCAATAAAACTGAATAATAGTAAAAAAGAACAATAATAGATCATCCACTAAATAAAAACAAATTTCAGGACAACTAAAAGAAAAGTACACAATAATCATCAGAATGCCTTTCACCCAGATTCACCAGTTGTTCACATCTTGTACCATGTGCATGTCCTGCTGGCCTTCATATAATTATATTTTAACCCTGAGCCATTTGAAAGTTAAACTGCAGACACATGACACAATCCACCTTGAGCGTGTCTCTCCTAGGAACAGTCTTTTGTGTAAGCGCAGTGCAGTTGTCACATTTAGGACATTTAACACTAACATTGCAAAATACATATTCATATGCAAATTATTTCAACTCCCCCATCCTTGTTTTTTTGTTCTTATTCTTTCTGTCTAGGGGCTCATCAAAGATAACACATTACCAGGGAAGATTTTAAGAATAAAGATTCCTAGGATTTTGATTCTGACGTTTTTGTGTGCAGGGAGGGATGGGGCTTGGGAATTTGTATTTTTAGCAAAAAAAATGCCTAGGTTATTCTAATGATCAGCAGAGTTGGAGGTAAGTGGTTGTTTTTAGAAATTATGTACATATATTAAATGTATTTAATATATGTACATATATAATAAATATATAGTAAATATATTTATAGTAAATATATTTATGCTTCTGTCATGTAAGTTATATGCATACCACTGTTAATAAATTATACACATTAAAAAACATACACAAAATAAAAGACAAGGTAAAAGGTAAGTGGTTCTAATAGTTCTTCTGGTGACCTGTGGCTCCTCTCGCACTCCCTGCTTTTTTCATTGCTTTGGATTATACAGGCTTAACTGATCTGGAGCCTGGCTAACCTTGTGGGTTGGTTGGTAAGGATGTACTGCTAGCTCTTCAATAATCACCTCCTGGCTCCCTAGGAGCAGAGACTGACTGCTCCCTAGGAGCAGATACATGACTTTATTCACGTATTCATGACCTTCCTATTTTCCCAGAGTGAGATGTTCCCTGCAGCTTACTAAGGCTAAAAATTACCCCCGAGATTCAAGGCTAAGAAGCGTGGTCCCGGGCTCTAAGAGGTTCCGTTCTGTGCATGGCAGGGGCCAGCCAAGACTGTTCCTTCACCACCTTCTTTTCTTTTACTTTTTACTTTTTCCATTTAGGTCAGAAACAAAAAGAAGAGCCCAAGGTAAAAAATTCCTTTCCTTTTTCAAGTGGCAGAAGAAGGAAGGGAAGTGGGAGAAGAAGAAGGGAAGTGGGAGAGGATGGAAGGGTCTGGGCTGTCAAGCACAGGCATGCCTGTCTGGATTAGTGTCCCACCGGGAGGGTCACACAGTTCCAGCTCAGTCTGTGGGCTATGGAGCCCCTCACCGCGTCCCCCTGCTCACGCATTCCCCCGCTGGTCTGCCAAATCTTGCCCAGTAGAATATTAGTTCAAGTGGGAGTTGGGCTGAGGATTTCTGAAGGCCTTTCAGGGTGAATGTGAAGCCTGTCGCTTCTTGGCTTCTCCGCTGCTACACGGGATAGCCCTATGCCAGCATGACAAGCAATGGTCACCCGTAATGCTGCTGAAAGCCTCACTCGGGAGTTCCCTTTGCTTCTACCTCTCTCAGGAAATACAGCTCAGGGTTCCCATGCTCTACACGCTCAAGGTGCACTACAAGTACACAGTGGTCGTGGAGATTCAACCTGGGCTTCCCTACAGCCAAGTCTGGCACATGGTGTCCAAAAAACTACAGCTCCTGCCAGAACACACTAAGCTGAGGTGAGCTCCTCGAAGGCAGCACTCAGGGGCACAGCTCCGGATCTCACGATGGCCCAGAGGACAGATGGGATGGTTTTTGTGCTTATGGTCTCTAACTTGGTCCCTGCTTGTTACCCCCATTCAGTTATCTGCCTCGGGACAGCAATGAGCTGGTGACCCTTTCTGAAGAAAACATGCAGGATGCCTGGAGCCAAGCGAAAAACTACTGCCTTACTCTTTGGTGTGAGAACACAGTAGTGAGTACAGAGAGCCCAGGGCTGACAATGGTTCAACATTAACTGAGCTCCTTCTGCTACCAGGCACTGTGCTGGTGGGGTTAGGGTGGGTAACAAGTTGCAGCTGGGAAAGGTTTCCCATGGAAAAGCGCGGCCCCAGCAGGCCCAGGGGCCCGCAGGAAACCCGGAGCCCCCTCCACCGGCTGCTAGGCCTGAACAGGTCAGCATTATGTCAAGCAATGGCTGGCATGAAGTCACAGCTTGAGGCTGAGCTCACTACCATTCTTCACCTTCTTAAATTTCTATGAAGAACTCTTGCAGGTAAAAAATAGTGAGCATTCCTTTCACAGAGATGACTTGGTAACAGCCTCCTCCTAATAGCAAGCATCTTCTGAGAACTTCCGGTGTTCCAGACACTGTGCAGTGTGTTCCGTATTATGATTGTTATAATCCCTCCATTAAGTATGCACCATCCCATTTTATAATTTAGGAAAGGGCAGTCAGAGCAAGCAACTTGACCGAGATGACTTAGGCCAGCTGGCTCCAGAGCCTGCATTTATTACCATCTCGCTGTAATTTCAATAAAGAACAACGGGAGTCAGGAGCAAAGCGAGAAGCTAAAAGGGGGAGCTACAAGGTAACACTCTTGACTTGGCCCTTCAGGGCCAGAGGAAAAGTTGCCATGTCTTTTTGTTGTTAATTCCCTCAACTCTGACCCCTGAAAACTAGTATCTGCTGTCAATATTCCTTTACCTTCTGTACCACCTTACATACATGGATTATATTGTACAGTCTTTTGGGTTTCAGGAATCCGTTTCTTTTGATTACTAAATAGTATTCCATTGCATGGATGCTGCAATTTATCCATTTACTCGGACATCTGCCTAGAAGGGATTCCTCTGCTGTCCATGTGATTGCACTTAAAAAACTTTTTAAAAAATTATTTTTTCCCTTTGCTGAGGTCAGTCCATTTAGTGGCTACCCTTATGTAATGTTCCCCAAATTTCCAAGTCTTTCTGGAACTCATCCAGGCTCACTGTTGAACACTCTGTATCTCTCTCTTACCTTGGAGCCAGTGAGTCAGGTTCTCACTAACTAGAAAAAGTTACACCTATTATACATCTACTGTAAGCTGGAACACTTATCAGTAACCAAGTAACATTTGTACTGAAATAGTACTAATACAGAATGTATGTTCAATAAACAGTTATTATTCCCTGCCATCTCATTTAATCTCTCAGCCTCTTCAGGTGAGGCCCTTAAGTTCTGCAGTTACACACACGTGGTAAGCAGGGCAACTGGGATATAAGCCTAGATCTGTGGACCCCACAGCGTCACTTCTACCTCCCTGTGCTGCCTTTTAGTAAACAGGGTGCACCATGGCTCAACACAGAAACTGGAAATTTTAACACTGCACTTTAGCCTACATGGTTTCTATTGTTGATTTATTAAATCCCATGATTCAGACCTCCAGAAACTGCGTCCTTCTATTTATGCAGCACAAAATAACATGTAAGAGGCCTAAGATTATAGTGTCTAAAATGTGTAAGAAAGTGTTTTTACAGATAAAAGGCAAGCTTTTTTCATGGCCTTAGATAGTATGGCACTGTGCAGTGGTTCTGAAGCTTTAACAAATACAGGAAATACCTAGAGGACTTCAAAGGAGTCTGCAGGGCCCCACCCTCAGGAAGGTCTTTTCTCTTTTCAGTAGGTCTGGGATGGAGAAGGCAAAAAAAAACTTGCATTTTTAACAAGGGCCCTAATGGTGGTGCTGGGGAGAGCCTGTCAGAATGCTGCTGCAAAGCCCAAGGTGGGCCATAGGCTGTGACCTGTGACTCGTACTTTCTCCACCTGAAAGGAAGAACCCCATCCTACATTTCTTAGGACTAAAGCCAGGTTCCAGTAAGGTATTTTAAGACTCTGTGTGGCTCTTCAGACACTTTGATTTCACTCATCCAGCCACCCAGTAGCCTTAAAATGCATACTTCGTCTATGCTAGGCACTGATCACAAACTGGTCTTTATGAGCTTATACTGGACATTTTACCATTTCCTCTTGTGATGTTCAGTGTTGACTGGCCAAGAAACTGGCAAAATTAACAAACCTTTTCTTATTTCAGGGTGACCAAGGCTTCCTAGAAGAACCCAAGGAAAGTGAAAAATGTGACAGTAACAGCCAGATAAAAGAACCTCAGTTTAAAGAAGGGAGCCAAGTGGTAGCACTCTTTAGCTATGAGGCCACCCAACCGGAGGACCTAGAGTTTCAGGAAGGGGATGTAATCCTGGTGCTGTCAAAGGGTAAGTGCTGTCACAGAACGGAACTCACATTTAGCGGAAACGGGAAGAAAGAAGAAAACATCAGTAGCCCACAAACCTAACTTTAGTCAGTACTTTCAATATCCTTTCCCACTTTCAGCAAGAAGGAACAAAAATGAATGAGTATCGGTTTCTTGTCTTTTGCTGTACTAAGCAGGCAAGTAATTCATATATATACGACTGATAACACCTTTGTTATTAAAGATGGTTGCTTGGAAAACTAGGGATTTTCATTCTAAGAGTTAACAAATTGGCTAGAATCACTTTCCCTATGAGCCTAACCATAAATCTTTGATTTGGTGCACTTTCCAAAGAGAAAAAAAAAGCAGGTAAATTTGTCTTAAAACAATCTATTTGCTGGGCATGGCAGTGATGCCCCCAGCTACGTGGGCAGCTTAGGTGGGGGGATTCCAAGTCTGGACCCAACGGGGGCAATTTAGCAACTCCGTAAGACTCTGTCTCAAAAAAGTGGGGGAGGGAGCTGGGGCAGCTATTCATAACTGCCCTATATTTCCGGTAACTTTCTGGATTAAGAATCAACAGATCAAAAAATAAAACAGTGGAGAGTTCTAATCAGTGATTCTCAAACTTCAGTATATCTAAGCAGTACTAGAACCATTTGCTAAATCGAATTCCTGGGTCCACTTCTCAGGGACTCTGGTTCAGGTACATGGGGTGGGGCTCACAAGTTTGCACTCCGGACCACTTCCCAGGTGATGCTGGTCTGGCTGTACTCTGAGACTGTACACTGTTCTAATTTAGTTTTAGTAAGTCTTATTTCTCTTCCTGGCACAACAGATTCCCAGCACAAAAAGCCTTGCTCACACGGCAGAAATGCTGTGCACCAGCAATACAAAGTGGTGAAAATCTATTACTAATTATAACAGAAAATCTTAACAGGTTAAGAAATGAGGGCAGGAGATTTTAAAGTTGAAAGGCTACAAAATATACAAATATGTACAGGAAAGCAACTCAAAGTGAGTATAGAAAAGCAGAGTGCCCTGCAGTGTACTTCTTTCAGGGGAGATTAGAAACTCAATGGGAGGGATCAGGCTAAGGCTTCCCAGGGCCATTTTCTAGCTGTCAATATGAAGGGCTCAGCTAAATTGTCCAATTTTTTTTTTGTTTGTTTGTTTTTTTGAATGGGGTGGTGAGGAGTACGTAGGGGTAGAAAATGAGAGAACATACAAGAAAGACCTGGGATATTAGAGACTGTGCTTCTTACTATGAGAAATGCAAGTCTTAATTAGGAAGTACCCTTACACTTCAGAATTTCACTCATCACAGTTCAACATGAAACAGGATTCAGGATACACACAGATGGAATCAATGGTGAGTTCAACCACGTTCAGCAGTTACCAGATGGTAACTAAAATGTTTTAAAATGCTTCCCAAACTTTGATGTGCACGTGAATCACCCAGGGAACCTCTTAAAAATGGACACTAAAGTGTGTATGGGGTCTGAGATTTTGCATTTCTAATACCGTTTGAGGATCTAGGATGCTTCAAGTCCATACTACTATAAATAAGAATGAAAACTAGTTTACAATCAGAATTACCAGAGGAAATATTTGATACTCAGCCACATTCAACGTTCATTTCAAAATCTTGAGGGGCAGCTTCTAGGCACCATAGTTCCATCTTATACCCAAAGGTGGAATTCTAAGACACTTGTATGGTCTGGTTGACGGGCTTTGGAGATTATACCTAAGATGTCTGATATTTACTGATGGAATGGCTCTGAGCACTGGGCCATTTCTTCAGTAAGACTGAGATACCTACAAAATATATGAATGTTTAAACAAAAAATATTTATTACAGTGAAAGACACACTGCCATTGAACACATTCGAAATACTCCCTCTAGCTTTGGAAACATATCCCATCATTCTTGCCACTTTCTGAAACAGTTCTGGAAGTCCTCTTCTGTGTTTTTTAAGAGGCGAATGCTGCTGAGTGCCACCCAATGGAAAGGAAGGCCTGTAACAACACAGCGCGTCCTCATCCACCTTATTTACTGGATCTAGCACTGTGCAACTTCTGGCTCTTCCCCAAAGTCAAAATGGCCATGAAAAATAAATGTTTTGAATCAGTTAGGGCATGGAGACAGCTATAATGCACTCATGAAAAATACTCATGAGGACTTCCAGAACTGCTTTAGACAATGGCAAGAATAATGGGTTAAGTGTATTTGATCAGTCAACCCAAGAGAGGCCATCTGAGCCGCAACCAGCAAGCCATGGGGGTGAGGCTGCCCAAGTTCTTTGGAGCTCATATCCTAACACTGCGTGTTCCGGATATAAAGCTGCAGGATTTAATAGTTGCCCTGCTGAGTTTGTCTTACTTTGATCAGTGTAGTACTTTAAGGGAGATTAAGGGCAATGTGCTTTTACTGTAATTAATACATTTTAAACTTTCACATTTTTCAATTGCATCCCATGTATTGGGTTATTCTGAAGTCTGTACACACACTTTAGTACAATAGCTCTACACTTTTTTGGGGGGGATCTTTTTGAGATAGGGTGTTGCTATGCAGTTCAGGCTGGCCTTGAGCTCACACTGTAGCCCAGGCTGGTCTTGAATTCGCAACAATCCTCCTGCCTCAGCCTCCCAAGTGCTGGGATTACAGGTGTGTGCCACCGTGCCCGGCTATCTCTACACTATTAAAGGCTCAAAGTGGGAATTACTAAAATCCTTTTTACAATTATATACTAAACTACTACCAGCTCCAACTTTCAATGCTCTGATAAACCCATTAGTAGGGAACTTTCATTTTTATTAACCAAGGCTTGTCTTCTGTTGTTGAAATGAAGATTCCCAACAAAACTCACTTTCCTTAAGCAATCATCTAAAGATTTAATTTCACCTTATACCTCTAATAACTTTTTTGAAAATTCTATTTCATTCTGTATTTTATTTCATAGTATCCCAAACAAATCTCAGTGAGATGGCTAAACTTTACGTTCACTTTAAGTTCAGACCACTTTCCCATGCTCCCTTCCCTGTTGCCACAACTTGGGGTGGGGAATGACTGACAAGACACTTGGGGAATACCCCGAAGGGACGCTTTTCCTAGCGTGATATAGTGCTTCCAGTGATTAATGTGTACTTCTCATTTTATCAGTGAATGAAGAGTGGCTGGAAGGGGAGTGTAAAGGGAAAGTCGGCATTTTCCCTGAAGCTTTTGTTGAAGCATGTGCAGCCGTGGCTTTGGACAGCACTCCTACAGCAACCTAGGATGTTTCACAATCTTCAACTTCAAGAAAAGAAAGCCTTATTATTTGTTCACAGGATTTAGCACACCTCTGCTGTGCATCACAGAGACATTACCGTTTGGAAGTGTTAACTTACCTTTCTTGTTAAAATTCAACCTATTAAGACAGTAACAGAACCACCCAGGATAAAGATTTCCGGGCGCATGGAGACACGGGGAGTGTGCAAAGTATCTGCAAGGGCATGAGGTTCTCTCGAGTGCTGGTAATCCAGATGTATTCACTTTGTGAAAATTCACTGAACTGCACAGTTTTAATCAGTGCATGTTTCTGTATATGTGATAGCTCAATAAAAAAGAAAAATTTAAAAAAACCAAACTTATCCACAAAAATAAAACAAGACACCAAGGGTCCAGGCTCCAAAGCTAAGTGGCAACCCTCTTGTTTCATATGATTAATATCACAGACTACTGAGGCTTCAGGTAACCTTACAGGTCACTCAGAAGGCACACACATATAAAACTAACTTGTTTTTTTTCTTGTCAGAAGTTTTACTTCTTGAACAGAACACAGAATCTACACTGAGTTGGGCTTCCATGGAATACAACATTCAATTCCACAGAGAATTAAATTAGTAGCAGTACATTCCTTTATGCTTTCTCTGAGAGGGACTTCTATTAAAGAGTTCAACACTGAATACATGCCACTAACAGCTAAGTGAGGAAAAGTTATGTTAAGGAAGTCAGCTGGTTAGTAGCATTCTATTACTTTACACTTATTCTCTATATAGGGATAACTTGAATGAAGGATTCTATAAATACTAGATCTTAGGAGCTGGCCTTAATTCCCGCCGCCCCTTCTTCTTTCAGAGTATGTATGGGTTTGCTTACAACTTTTCAAATGTGTAGGTGCTTGTGCAAAGTACAGTAAGGAGATGAACTGTAGACTGAATCTACACTTCAGTGAAAGGACAGTCAGTGTGAACCTTGGCTTCCAGCATGCTCCTGAAGGTCCAGCAAGTGATCAGTGGAATCTTAGGACATGGGATACAACTGGAATAAAAGCTATCCCAAGGATAAGAACAGAAATTACCACTGAAGTTAATCAGATTTAATGAATTTTATAGGTCAAAAGGATGTATTTTCTCAGAATTGCCACATTAACAGCTAGAACAGGGATAAAAATGGGCTACTAACTCCTTTATCTAAGTCAGTCTTCCCCTATTAAAGAACTACGGTAATCAGTTTATTTCCACCTCCCTTTCTATAATAATTCATTGGTTTAGAATGCCAAGAAAAGTGAAAATAACCCTGAAACATACTCAAGTTTTGATCATCTTTGCTTTTGTCTGGATGACCTGTGAGGAGCTGAATTCTTTGAGCTAGATTTTCTTCAATACTGTGTTTTGTAGGATAGAAAATAAATATATACACAGATATGGTTGGAGAGAACATGGTTTAATTAAAGGCAAAGCTGATTTCAGCAGCTGCAGGTCTTATACAGACAGACAAAAAAAGAAAAGATTCCCCCCCAAACAACAAACAAAAACCCCCCCACAAAAGTAAGTTTACTACACAAAACCAGTTTTTGATGAAGATTCTCCTCCCCCACTTCATTACTCTTGCAGTGAGGATGATAAGGTAAGGAACCCTGCTCCAAGAGTCAGAAAACATTCTAAACAGCAAATTCTCATGCAGAATGGGGCTGTAGATGGGAACTGGGCACTACTGGGAGGGAGATGGTAAAACCTGGCTAGCCTGTCTAGGTGCAAGACAAGCTTGTCTAGGGTGCAAGAATCAGTGACAGTTCAAACACTGGAATGTTGCAGCTGCCTGAACGCAGAGCTCAAACACACAACCTGGGTAAAGGCAGTAGGGAAGCGGGAGGTGGGTGGGGAAAGGTGGACACAGGCAAGGGGACGGAGAGAAGCACGAAGGGTTTTTCGTATTGCCATGAGACCGGGCGGGGGTGGGGGGGTGCTTTACCCTTTCAAAAACAAAACAAACAAAAAACCCAAATACCGTGTCAAACTAAAAGAGCAATAATGTAAGTATATGGGGGCTTCAACCACTCTTTCTGAAGAGCAATGAGCATTATCTCACCCCTTTTAATTGCTGGGGTTGCCCAGACTCCAGTGACAACTGGGGCTCCTTGATGTGCTTTGCTCTGCAGCTGTTTTCTGGCTACGTTCCACACTGACTCCATACACTCAAACACACAACCCCTTCCCTCTGGGGGAGCAGATGGACATGTGTGGGTGCCCACACACGCACACATATTCTCACACACACGCAATGGAGAGACCTCCCAGAAAATAACCCCTACCACTAGCACAGCAATTGGACATTTAGATAATTTCCATAATTTTCCCTTAAAATATTACTTTTCCAGGAAGTAACTAACAGAAATGCTGTCCTTCTGTTTCTACGTAAGAACATCTTCAGTCCTCTTTCCTCCTAATAAATATCAATAAAAAGTTTATTTTCCTTTCTTTCGCCTTGTCCAAAACGGTCTCCGTTGTGTTTCCTCTATTCACCACGTGCGTGTGTCCACGGTGCCTCGAATCGCACTCTCGAGGTGGAGGCTGGGAGACGGCAGCGGGGCGGGGCCGGGCCTCTCTGTGGCTCTGCGGACGGCCCTGCTTCCCTCCTCTTCAGACTGTCCTTTGGGCCCCAAATGCCGGACCCCATGCGCGGCTTCTTGGCGAGACGTTGTACACATTAGGAATGAAAACAATTACGAGCAACAGGGAGGGTCACAGGTGCAGGAGGCTGCTAAGTAGGATGAGGGCACAGAAACCAGCCAAACAAAAAGTAACCACACTGAAAGCTTCTACCCAAGAAAATGTGTCAGGCCACGGATGGACCGGCCTGCCTTCTGTGAGACGGCTTGCTATGCTACTGCAAAAAGTACAGGAATCAAAAACATTAATTTTAAATCCTACAGCAGTCACCTGCTCGTCCAGCCCAGCACCAACACCCACACTGCATCTTCGAGGGCTCAAGCACCTACAGAGCCAAGGGCATTTCCTGCTGGAATCTCCAGGCCAGAGAAGGGCCTGCCAGAACTTCTGAGAGGCCCCGGACCCTCCCCACGGAACACTTCCACGGGCCGAGGAGGTCGGTTCCCTGTCCTGTCACCACCAGCCTCTCACAGGAGCAGTGAGTGGGGCTGTCTTTGCTACACACTGACTAGAAGAACACCTGTGTATGGAAGAATTCAGTGTGATATCGTACTACTGAGAGTAATAACAATAATAAAAGATGTTTAGGAATAATTTCAACTACATTCTCAGTCAGCCAAGCAATCATTAATGGATTCCTATTTTATTCCCCAAAGAGGAAAAAAAGGACTGAGAAGTTCCCATTGGCTTCTCCCACCTGCCTTCCCTTCTCAGCTTTCACCTCCCATGTGGCTGGGGACATGCACGACGGAGAAGGTGAGAGGCGGTGGTATCAGGTAACTGAGTGAGACAAACAGCAGTTCCTCTCTCCCTCCAGAAGAGCCTGGGGGGACAGAGAGTTCCTGATGGATTTTTCTTTTTGTTGCACTGCGGACATTTCGTGCACACTCAGCGGGCTGGTGGGACACTTACACCCTCTTGACAGCAAGGAACAGACAAGAGGGCCGCCACCTGCAGGGGACTGTGCGGGCCAGTCCTGCAAGCCCAACATGCCATGGTTTATGGAGCCTTCATTCCCAGGGTTGCCACTCTGGCCTCAGTGTGGAGGGTTCATGGTGCCTTGTCCCCGCTGCTGTTTCTGCTTCTGCTGCATTAACAGCTGCTCCAGAGCGGAGGGTCCAGGATGCATCATGGAACTGGACCAGATAGACTGAAAAACAGCCCAGATCTTGTCAGCAGAGCTCAATCGGGTGCCTGACAGGGGTCTGTTTTAATCCCAGCCCGCTATAAGGCATATATGCCCCAAGAACCCCATTCTACCCTATAAAACACTCAGCTATCAGAGAACATCGCTGTAAGTCTCTAAGACTAGTTAGTTCCTGTTAAAATTATTTTAAACTGTAAAAGGCAAAATTATATTTTTAAATGCAGTCTTTTTGCTAATAGCTCCATGTGGTACCTCAGGGTATGTTTATATAGAGTTTAGGCAAACAAGTCATTTCTCAACTTATAAATTTTTCCTTCACTTGGTCAGAAAAGACCTAAACATTCCAAGATGAATCACAATCTTCTTAACCTTTAGAGTGAAACCTTTTATGCTTCTAATCCCAGAAGAAATTTCTTTATCATTAGAGGATTCACAAGCTAAAAATTAAATTGTGCTTAAGACTCTTGGTAGGTTGACCGTATTTCTAGAACTCTGTTACACATATGCTACGCGTCTGTCAATTCTAAGGGCTGTAGAAGTACGCCTAGCTTTCTAGCTGAGTCCAAGTAGAGACATCTTTGCTGCTAGAGGCTTGTGGTTCTTGTTCTAGAAATCTACTCACCTTTAGGCTTTCCATGAGGACAGCAGAGGAATCCTCCATGGAAGGGCCCTGGCCTGTCCAGGTGCCGATTGGAGTGCTGGCCTGATGCCAACTGCTCTCAGAGGGTGACGTTGCTGAGAGATAATCAACACCAAACCCACCCATGGCTAAGGGATGAAAAGAGAAGAAAGCAAGATGTTCTATTACTGACAGATAGGGTCGCAAATCCCAGATAAGGATATAGCAAGGTACTTCACTTTCCCAAGATATCAAACCTAGACCTCACCTGGTTTATCAGTTTTCCAACGATCTGCAGTCCTTCTATCTCTGTTATCTGGAGCCCCAATGGGTCCGAAATTGGAGAATGGAACAGAATGATGGTTGTGTGTTGGAGGAGAGCTGGGCAGGCTGCTTGGATTAGAGGAATGGGGAGACTGGCTGGCTGGTGTTGAATGATCTATTAAATGACAGCAACACAGGTCACTGAATAGACGGTTCATAAACATAACAAGAAGAATTCGATACACTCTACTAAAAATAACTATAGAGCTTTGGAAGAAAGGTGATTTAAGGGCCCTATAAAGAAACCTGCCAGACATACTAATTTGCCTTACTGTATATATCTATGGTACAATTTTTGCTTTAAAAAAAAAACCCAAAAATAGGTACTTCTGTTAAATGAATGCACTATTCTGGCTTTTCAGAAGACAGATAAGTTTCCAATAAGTATTTACTGGTTGTTTCTATCATAAACATAATTTCTTGACTTTAAGAATTACTATAAAATCAGATTATTTATAAAATTAGGATGAAAATCTTTATTTGAAAAAGTGCAATTTTCATCTACAAACAACACTAACGTAGCTAAAACTGTGACAGAACTCGTACTTTCTCTCTTACCATTCTGCTGGTTGTCTACGATGCAAACACATTTAAGCAGGATTTACTAGATGAACTAGCTTAGTAGACTTCTATTTTCTTTTAGAAAGTACTTTTTAAAAAAGCAATTATTTGTAATTACAGAATCCTACTAACTCTTTAATCACCTTGTATAGAAAGGGAAAGTTTATAATTTTGAAGACTAGTTAATACCTGAACTGGCAGGAAGTGATGGGGACCATGGAGTTCCTTCAAAAAGGGAATAGAGTGATGTTTCCTGGGGGGCCATTGAGGGATTAAGCTCTGCTTTGGAGCTGGCTGTCATGTTCTTCCCATATACCTCATTGAACATGCTGTTATTTGGGTATCTTTCCTGAAAAACAAGACAGTGAAGGTATAAACTCACTCCGTGAAAGAGAGATTTAAGAAAACGCAATGTCATGTTCATAGATTCCTGATATATCTAAAACTTTTCTTAGTGAGACAAACTGTTGGAGGCTTTTATTTCTTTTAGTATTCTCTCACATTCATTTCCCCTTCATTTTCTCTTACCCTTTATTCTGCTCTACATAAACTATCCCGATTTTTTAAAAAATGAGTAATTCATCTGACTGAACAGAGTCACGAGGATTTCAGTATTAACGAGAAGTTGAAGCATTCAAACTCATAACATACAGGTCACTAGCCTGCCCCAGTCAGAGGAAAGGGGATGGAAGGTACCCACATATGAAAAAGGAGGAAAGAGAAAAACAGACATGCCGAAATACAACGGGAAAAAATACCAATCTACTATAGATATACAAAGCAAGATTCGTAACTGTTTACCCACCTGATTGAGAGAGAATCCGGTGAGGGACAGGAAAGAGGATGAATGTGACACGAGCTCTGAAGGCTTCTCCAATAAGGATTTCTTCACAGTCCCAGAAAAAAAAGTATTAAGTTATGCCTTCTACTTTCTTTTCTTTTTTTGTCTTTTTTTTTTTGAAACAGCGTTTCACTATGCAGGTCAGGCCGGCCTTGAACTCGAAGCCATGTTCCAACCTCGTCTCCTGAGCGCTGGGATTACAACCGTGCGCCACCATGTCTGGCTTCTTTCTACTTTCTTAACATTAACCTTAAAACACTATAGAACCAAAGTAAAAGAATCCCCCACTTCAGCACACTTGTACTCAATGTGTACAATGTAACATTTAGAAGATAAGAATTCAAGCCTATTAATACCGTGATACCAGCTAAAGGCAAATTGCTACAGGTGAGTCAGAATCCTTCACCAAGTGTATCCAGTCTCATGCAGAGACTGGGGGAGGAACCAAATACTCCGGAAAAGAGGAGTTCTGAGTGATTTTTAGGGATGAACCTCAGGAATCCAGTTGTCAATAGCTCCATTTAGAATTCCAAAACAAAATGCTGGAATGTTCTAGCACAGTTTACTGTCTAAATTTCTAAAAAACTGACACTGATGCAAGATATGGTGGTTCACACCTGTAATACCAGCACTCACGGGGCTAGAGGGAGGAAGAATGCAAATACGAGGCCAGTTTGTGCTACACAGTGAGTTCTGGGCAAGTCTGGACACAGAGAAACTCTGTATCAAAAACAAAACAAAGCATAACAAAAATATTGACAATGATGACTTTAAAAAAGCTTTTCAAATTCATTTGACAAGTTCTGCTTACCTGTTTCCCAAGTAGCTACTTTTGTGGTACACACTAAGATACTGAAAAATTAGGTTTACATCTATTTACCCCAAGAGAGTTATGAAGAAAAAGAAAGTTGACTTAACAAAACATTTATCTACTGCATGCAAGGCAGTTTTAACATTATACTGTTAGCAGTGTTAAACAAAAGGTGGGTTACCAACAAGTGTTTTTCTCTGTATTTGGAAATACGAAAATAAAGCAAAACACAAAATTGCTCCACCAGCAGCTCCATTCCCAGTGGCAGAGTCAGAAGCAATGGAACTTGGGGATAAGGAAACAAGCGGGTGGGAAGGCGCCATCTTCAGTTTCTCAAGCCCTTCCAGCAGGAAGCAGTGAAAGGCATGCACGCTTAGGCAGCAGCACAACCGCCAGACTCCGCACCTCCTGTATCCCAGCCACCACACCACCACCACCACGGACTTTTCAGGGGATCTCTTCCTGCCCGTTCGGGAGGCGGCCTCTACTGCCACTCACCCGGGCAAGTTCTTCAGGGAATTCTCAAGCATCAGAGATGGCAGCTATTGTCAAGGACGCTGCTCACTTTTTATTTATCCTGATACTAGAATCAATGTATTTTAATCTTATAAATAAATGTCTTCTTGGCTTGTGTTTTATGGGAAATCAACAGGAAAGAACTGAGAATCTTTTTATGTTTTGTAAGATGTAGTGAAGGGGGAGGAAAGATTCATGGCACACGTCTTCCTTCCCATCGCCCTCAGTAAAGTACAAACCCCGATAAGCACACAGAATGACATTCTTGAAACGCAAGCTGGTTCTAGATTATTTCTAAAAAGATAGTATTAGTCAATTCTCAAATTTTATGTTAACCTAGTTATTTATTTTCATATCCACTCATTTATGGTATAGAGTCCTTCATCTTTATTCATACTGCTTATGAATCCAACTCTAAATTGCTATCAGGGCTCTGAGTCCAGTCAGCCAAACAGTAAAGGGTTGCATACTGTTCGTTAATGTTAGCGTTCTTAGAAAAGGTTTCACTATGTAGTTCAGGTTGGCCTAGAACTCACAGCAATCCTCTTGCTTCAGCCTCCGAAGTTCTGGGATTATAGTTGTGAGCCACCACGCCTGGCTTAATACTGTTAATTTACAAAAATCTAGTTCTTTCTCTGTTTCCTGCCTGTCATGCCATAAGCAACCCTCCTCTGTCATGTTGCCCTGCCTAGTAGCCAACCAAGTATGGAGTGAAACTCTATAAACTCCTGCTTGCAATGGCATAAGGCCAGGCTTGTGGTGAGGCAGCACATCATGATTAGTGTTTATGGTGGAGGAAAAACCACTCACCTCATGGATGGAAAACAGCAAAGGGAAGGAGAAAGAGACTTGGACCTTACAATTTCCGTTGAGGCCAGGCTCCCAGTGACCTAAACGTCCCACCAGCAAAGTTCCCTCCACCTCCCAATGGTAACAAACTAGGGACCAAGCTTCTGAGACACAGGCGTCTGGGAGACACCGACAGTCCAAATCATAGTGCTTGCCACGCTGCCATCTGCAGTCAGGCCCTCACCCAGAGGCTGAACCAACGTGGCTATCCAATTTTGGACTTTCAGCTTCCAAAACTGTGATCCAAATAAACCCCCACTTTTTTATTAAGGAAAAAAAATCCAGAACGTATTTCTTTTCATATATCATATATAGGCAAAATACAAATTTCACTATCCCTAGGCAAGATTAAATGACATGTGAACCTCACGGGTCCAGATGGAAGTGACACCCAAAACATGAATGGTTAACTTGCCAGTAGCACACCCCACGTATGGTCGGCCCTGTGAGACGCTTCCTGAACAGCACATACATCTAAGCTAGGACTCTACAGCTTGAGGGCACTAGACTTAGGAATGTTTCCATATTTGCTACCATCTGAAGGTTAGTTTAAGACAACCAGGAAACACTGTATGCTTCTATGAAGAAGGAAAGCCCCAGAAAGCAGAAATCACCCTTGATACCACATACTAAAGAATTTTAGTAAAGCTGGGGTTAGAACAAGAAGCAGAATTACGTCAAATACATACAAAGAGGCTTCGTCCAGGAAGAGAGGCGAGAGGCCCCAGCAGAGCTGGGTAAAGATCAGGAGGGTTAGAAAAAAGCAGCTCTTCCTCTTCCTCCAAGGCAGCCAGACTCTTTAACAGGTCCGGAGGAAGCAAAGGGGAGCCCTTGGGGTCCTAGTGACAGAAAGGATTACAGTAAGATGCAATTAAGCATGACAAAAGCACGAAGGAGTACTAGTATGTTAGGTGGATAAGGCAACTAAAATCAAGGGTAAAGGAATTATCAGTGACAGACAAAGAGGAAATGGTTTTGAAATAGAAAAGTAAAGTGACACAAGGACAACAGTGGAGAAAGACCAAGACGATAGAAGAAGCAAAAATACTGACAGATCAGAACGTAAAAGGTTAATGTGGTTAGTGAAGAAAACAATGCAATGCAGCACAATGAGCACGCTCTGTGCAAACAAATAGAGAAACAGCTCTTTTAAAAAGCAGCACCGGTTTCCCATGAATAAGAAGGGCACGGAAAAGGAATTCCACTGTCTAGATAACTGACTGACTTTGCTTCCCTCAGAAAGTAGTTTGTCTAAAACTCAGCCAACTTATTTTAAAACTTAGATCAGCCCAACTGAGAGGATCACTTTGTCAGAACTGCCTCACAGGCCGTGTTAGATTTCTGCACATTTCTCTGTAAGACCGTCACATTTTAAAATCAGTTATAGAATTCTTCAGCTCCCCAAACTAAAACAGACTGCAATTTTGAAGAGACTTACTGCTATAATTCTAATGTTCTAATGGTATTTTTAACATCTATTTTCTATATGCAAGTACTGTAACTTTCAAATGTCAATTTAAAAATATAAATAAATGTAGTATCTATTTGAGAAATTCAAAAGACACAAAAACTCAGACCTGTCTCCAAAGAGCCTGCAGACAGGAAAGCACACACACCTCGAATGGCATCCTGGGCACAGGATCCTGATCTGGACGGAAGACTCCTGGTGACCGTTTGCCCCTGCGGTCCATGTTTGCTTGCTGTGCCATTACAGCTCTGTTATCAGCCATGCTGTAGGAAGAATCCCAGTAGAATTCCGGGACCTTGACTTCTGAGGGATTATGGTTATATGGCTCCATGGGAAAAGGCTTCATTTTTTTCTCTAGAGGCTGCTGCTGCATTACAGGAGGTTGCAATGACGGCTCAAACAGTTTTATGGGGTCTTGGGTCTGAAGGTAGTAGGGCTGTTTCACAGGCATAATTTTCCCTAGTGGGCCTTGAACCTGAGGGGGATTCCACAGCTGTTTGGAGGCATCTGCCTGTTGATACTAAAACAAGAGATGCTCATCATTAAGATAAAGATAAAATGCAAAGTTGCTTACAATCAATGCACAAGAATGACCAAGCGAACTTGAGGGATTTTACAACAAAACAACTCCTCTAGGCATGTAGCAGCTTCTTTCACTGTTTGGGTTTTCCAATACACACCGATTTCTGGGCACAGACTATGTACAATGACCATACGTTCTCTTCAAATAAGAGGGTCAGTGACTGAGTAAGTGTACATATGAGAGGAAGAGAGGGAGAGGGAGAAGAGAGCTTCACCCTCCTGTTTTAAGTGGTGTGGGAATGACAGTGAAGACTGCTGTCACATCCATCTCAGTACTTCAAAACTATGATTCTAGTTCTATTCTGTAATTTATTTTCAAAGAAGAGAGAATTATTTACAGAAAAATCTATAAAGCTGGCAATTAGTAGCAGCAAAGGACGGCAGTGAAGATTTCAATATTATCTCTTATGAATAAAGAAGAAAAACATTTAAATTTTCCTAACAGTAGAGAAGACTTTTGTGTTTCTACAACCATAGTCTAACCAGGAAGCATCTTAAAATTTAACTACCATTTTTCAACTGTCTAAACACTGAGTCATTTCAGTGTTTTCCTTTATTCCATCTGGTCAGCATCACAACTGCACCTTACCTGCTGGAATCCAGAGTGGTGAGGTGGGCTTTTCCCCAAAGCTGGCACAGCCTTTGTAGGGGATTGCTGCTGCTGAGCTAGAGCTTGGACCTGCAGCTGGCTTGCAGACTGTGCTGTTGGCTGAGCTGGTAAAGACGTAAGGGGTTGCTGGGAAGGTGGCTGTGACTGCTGAGGTCCCTGGTTCACTGGCCCTGGTCCAGAGGGCCGTTGCTGGCTGTAAGGAATGTGGGACTGTTTCCCAGCTTGCACCTGGTTTCCTGCTGGAGAGTGAGCTGCAGACTGAAGAAAGGTTCCTGGGACAGAAACACCAGCTGGGAAGGTGTAACCTGAGCCCATAGAAAATGCCACAGGAGGGGGGATAACATATGTTGGGGGCGGGAACCCTTCAAAATAAAAGAACACAGCTTTAGTTCTAAAGAAACTTAGAGAAAAAACAAAAGGGGGGAAAAGTCATCTTTTTCAGGGGAGGGGTTACTAACACGTAAGCAACAGACCAACCATGTCAATCTCAAACATGATTTTAAGAGCTAAATACAGACTGCTAGCTACTTTTCTTCTATCCACTGAAGTAATCAGTACTCTAAAGCTGGGTTCTCAGGTTTAGTGACAGGAATTCTGTATATGAGCCACAAAGAAACAGCTCAAAAATAATTTCATAAGCCTTAGGGAACGTCAAACTTATACTTCGTAACATTATGCTCAGTAACATCATTCCAAGAGCACATACTACTCAGCAAGTGAACAGAGATCCCCACAAGGACAGTATAAGGTAGAAGAAATTATAAAACGTGGTGTACCTGGACGGCTGGGAAGAGGAGGGAAGGCTCCAGGATGATGAATGGGGATGAACTGGGAGTTACTTGCTTGACTTGGGGTTTGAGTTACAGGTGTTTTCCGGGCTTCAGACACTGGAGTTTTTCTTAGTTCTGTCTGAGATTTTACCTATGACCAATAAAGGAAAAATTATCTACAAAACCTGGAACTCAAATGTGTCAGAAAGAAATACCTACTCCTGTGAAAGTATTTAAAACCTTTTTGTATCAAAAAGCATATGCTGACATTTAAATTAACCTAAGTTAAAAATCAAAATAGTCCAAACATTATTTTTCTAATGAACATTTTTGCTTTCAATCAGTTTGGCCCTTAATCTAATTTCATCTAGGCAGCGAAGTGTACAGTCAGGTGTCCACACTCTACCCTGCAACCTTGTCATCCCTCAGAATAAATAAGGATACTTTAAGGAATAAGAAACAGGACCAGGATCCTATACCTTGATCAAGAAAGAAAAAGATGCCAAATGTTCTGCTCAAGGTAGAGCAAAAACAGGGAAAAGTAGCCTTTATAGAAAATTTGGAATAAGGTGAGAGTGGGGTGATATATTACCTAGGCTATCTTGATCTATAGGCAGATTTGAGATGGAAGTGGCCTGGAAAAGCGACTCCATTATCTGGAGTTTACTGAAAGGCCATTACACAGAACGGAGGGAGGTTAGGCAAGCCATGCTGGGTTGTTCCTAAAACATGATCCTTTGGCTTTCTAGTTCTTTACTTTTTTCTTGCCTTTTCCCAGCACCTCACTTTTTCATGTCTTTTTAAAATTTCTACCGTGTTTTTTTCCCTATTATTAATCTTAAAATGGCACTATTATTTGTTTCTCCCTTTCTCAAAAAAAAAAATTCCATTAGAGAAATAAATTGAAGGTATTATTTATACACAAGTAACCTTCAATAATGTAAGGTCCCTCATGCAAACATACACATTTGCCAAAATGTGTTAACGAAAGTCACATGGCTATTCTAGTATTTATTAAAACATTAATGTTATTACTAGAGCCAACAAAGAGTGAAGACCCTTTTCTGTTTATATAAATTTATCTGTGATGGGGGCTGGGGATTTAGCTCAGTGGCACAGCGCCTGCATGGCAAGCGCAAGGTTGTGAGTTCAATTCCCAGTACCGGAAAAAAAAAAAAAAAGTATCTGTGTTTCTTTAGAAAAGTACAAAATAAAACAAAGTCACAAATAATAACATTATGTTTTCTCAGTAAGAGACTTGAGTTCTTGCTTTACCAATTCCCATGAACCAGAATAATACCAAAATGATAGAAGCCACTGGCTGGGAACAGGTATAAATGTCAAGAAAAACAGCTTCATCTTTTTCCAAGAATTATACTGCACAGTAAATCCTGGGTGAGGTAGACAACAAAACTGCATAACCTTTAATATACTTTTGGTCCTATGAGAGACCTAAATCTCTATTGTCACGTTAACAGTTGGTAATGATACCTGCCAAAGAAAAATACCATCTGTGTGGAAATGAGGGCTCCACAACAAGTCATCTCAAGTCACTCAGAGTTGATGAAAATTTCAAATCAGGTTGAGACTTTTTTCACTTACATAATAATTTCCAGCAACTGATAAGGTAACCGTCTACCATAGCTCTTCTTATACCTCACCATGCATTCCAAGACTACACTGAAATTTCAGATCTGCCAAAGCTCAAGGTTTGAAGAACAAAATGAAAAATCTTGCCTGTGGTGTGAGCCTTCCTCTATCTGCTTTGTAGTTCAAACACAGCTTACCTGCACTGCCACACTCTGCTTTCCTGTTTCCTGTAACTGTCCTAAGGTGCATTTCTTGGTTTCAGTTTTCCTCTTGCTGTTGTCCTTCTTTCCACCATTCTTAGTTACAGTTACTCCTTCGCTACAGTCCCTTCTCACCTCTTTGGGAGGAAAACTTCTTCCTTGGTCTCTGTTCACTTCTCGTGGTTTAATGTTCTCTTTGAAGGTGACCACTGGCTTCTCTCCTGTGTCACAGTTGTTGCTCAGATTTCGGCCTGTAGACAGTACCGATTTCAGTCCTGGGCTCCCATCAGCAGCCACTGGCTCTATCACAGATGTTTCTTGCAGAATGAGGTTCTCTTTGGATTCACTGGGGTCTTCCAATATTAATTCTGGAATTTCTGTGATAAACAACAATTTCCCTACCTCATTTTCACACTGAATCAGCCTAAAAAGTAAAAATAAATACACATATGATAAACATAAACCTAAAAAACAGTAGCTCAACCATGTAAGGATCCAAAGTCACATATATTCCCAGTCCTAAAACATGCAACAGAGACAGCAGGATATAACAATATGGACAAAGGTAACACAAAAAGTAGTGACACAGAAACTCCATGTATCAATCCATGTCACCACAGAATACTTCCCTATTTCGTGTTTGCTGACAATTACAGTTACATTTACTGAGCATGTTTTTGGTACAGAATGATAGTCTTAATTCCTTGATATGTTCCATAAGGTAGATACACATAATTCCCGTTTTATAGGTATGGAAAGGGAAGCTCAAAGGTGGTTAGTTCATTCAAATACACAACCATTTAGGTATTTATTGTATGACAGGAACTTGAATACAAAAAAACCAGTTACTGATTTTGGAAAGGCTATAAGCTATTCAGGAGATCCCAAGGACATACCTAGAAAGTGGCTGAATTAGAAACTAAACTCAAATCTATCTGATTCTGCAACTTGCGTCCACTCCATTACCTACCTATCACATACATGCTTGTATTTAACTAGCCTGGTCTGCCCTGCCTGAAACTGACCACAGTGCCTTGCCGGTACAAACCACTGTGATTGTGAACATACAACTCAGATATATATAGATGTATGCTTACTACTTTCGTTTTTATGGTGCTGGGATGGAACCCAGGGCATAGCACACAGCAGGCAAGTACTCTACCACTGATCTACATATCTAGCCCCATACAGATGTTTATAGATTAGAGTACAAACTTAAGATAAACAAGGGAGACAAAATCAATTCCTCTGTAATAAGCAGCGTAAATAAAGAATACCTAATGATCATTAAGGTCATGATTAGATGCTATATTACAAATACTTTAACTAAATTCATAATCAACAGCACTTACACCAAGGCTAATAGACATATGAGGTATGACTATATGAGTGTGCGTGTACTGATAAGCTGATTAAAAAGTAACAGACAGAAGCCCCACAGACATACCTTGGCTGATTATCAGCAATCCATTTGCCTATAGAGATCAAGCGCTGCTGTCGTATTCGTCGCTGCTGACCCCCTTTGTCTCCTGTAATACCCTGATGGCCTTTGGAAAAATCCAAATTCCTGAAATTGACATAGCAAATTATAGAAAATTAAACTCCAAAGAAAACATCCAGGAATTAGGGGTATAGTTCAGTAGCATAGTGTTTGTCTAGCATGTGCAAGGTCTGGAGTCTGATTCTCAGCACTGGGGTAAAAAAAGTTGCTTATGATTTCAATGTGGTTAGTGAGGCCACACTAGTTGGAAAGGAAGGAAGGAAGGGAGGGAGGATGGGAGGGAGGGAGGGAGGAAGGAAGGAAGGAAGGAAAGAGAAAGATAAAGAAAGAAAAAAGAACTTTCCAGGTAACCTAGTTTACCTAACTAACTGCAATGGCTTTAAAATGTTCTCCATATAGATTAGTTATGTGATGTAATCAGCTATATATTTTTTTAAATTTATACTCCCCAAGATTTTAAATACAATAAAACAAACCAAAAAAGAAAATATGTAAGTTCATTACATTAGTGTAATGTATTTATATTCTCCTTTCTAGTTAAGGACCTCCGGTTACCATCTTTTATTAGGAAAGAGTCTTTTGTCGTTTTAAGACTAGTGTTTTAGGCTGGAAATGTAGATCAGTGGTACAGTACTGGCTTAGCAAGTATGAGACCCCCATTTCAATTCCCAGTACAAGTTTTAAAAAGAATGGAGTTATCTGTTTGCTTTGTGCTGCTAGAGATTGAACCAGGGCTTTGCACATGCTAGGCATGTGCTCTGCCCCTGAGCTAAACTCCCCTACCAGAATAAAGTTTTATAAATACTTACCTTGTCTTCTAAAATTTACATAAAATGACCATGGCAATGCTAAGTGTCTCTGAAGTGGCTATGCTAATAAACAGTATTAGTCTGTCCACTTTAAGATGGCCCATTCTAAGTCAGAAAAATGTATACATATCATAAGGTAAATAGATATGAAAAGGGTAAATCAGCCTGCAAAAAATTAGGATTTTCCAGATTTCTCTTCATTAAACTTAAAAAATTTTTTTGAAAAAAACTGCCAGGCAGTAGGTTAGAGGGCAGGGATACACAGGTTAAGTGAGAAATAGTTCCTATCTTCAGGAAAAAATAAATATCATTTAATCTGATGAGCACTGCAATAAAAACTATGCAAAGAATAAGAGAACAAAGTAAAAAGACAAGTTCCTTCCAAACAACTCTGAAAGGGTTTCACAGAGTAAATGACACCTGAGCTGGACCTCAACAGGTGGGTAACTGCTTACCAGACTGGTGAGCGAAGGATAGGAGATGAGAAAGGAATCTGATTGCCAGGGACGACATACAAAGTAGAAAGGAAAGGCCACAGAGAGAATTCTGGGAAACAACATTCAGATGCATCATACAAAAGAAAGAGTAAAAAGAAAACTAAGGGTGGGAGAAGAAGACTAATGTTACAGATCTAAAGAAAAAGATTTAATGAATGAAGGGGATCATTAGAATCAATGCTGAATAAAATTTGAAAAGAAAGAAAATTAAAATGTCCTGGAATCTGGTATCTAGGAAGTCACTGATCATGCTGAAGAAGACGAAGAAATCACTATACGTTAAAGCAGAATCAACAAGGTTAGCCCATACTACTCTTAAGAAGTTTGAAGATGAAGACAAAGATATGGCAATAACAGAGAAAAACAGGGGTCATGAGTTTTACTTTATTTAAAAGAATGGCAAACATGCGAATGTTACTAGGCTAAAGGGAGGCAGCTGGTTGGAAAATGGAAAAGAAAATGATACTAGAAGACTAAAAGATGAAGCAAGGCTCTCAGGCCGGCAGGATGAGATGGGACAAAGGGCACAGATAAAAGGATTAGGAAAGTAGTAAGAACTTATTCCTCTAAAAGTGGAAGAAAAGAAACCAAAAGAACTCAGTGATTAAGTAACACGTGGGGGAGCCATTTTTTCCCATCCTTTTTGTAAATATTTTCTTAAGGCACCCAGTATTATACAGGAATTAAAGGCATGACATGTACAAATCCATTTCACATCAACAAACTTTCATCATTAGTTGCTCTTATTAAAGTAAGATAGAGTTGGGACAGAGCAAAGGTTCCTCTACACTCAAGCCTGATTCCTATTACTTCTAATACTGTAACCAATGATATAAGCCTCAGTCAGCAGCCACCTACCTGAAAGAAGGTCTCAAAGCCAAGAATCCTTGTAACTCAAACTCCTCTGGAAGTGGTGTAGCTAAATAAGAGAGGAAATCCAAACTTGTAAGCATTTTAATTAAAACACAGAAAAAAAGAACATATAGAAATAATCTATGTAAAATAATTCATCTATAAAATTCTGTATGTTACCTTTGAGGTCTAGATGTTGCCCTAATATTCAGATAATACTGACTGCTCAAGAGGATGAGTCTGATGGGCTTTATCCAGCAGTCTTAAAAATTTATAGCCTCAGATCTAGTAACTCCAATCTTTAGATCACCTACCTCTTTTTATTCAAAGTACTGAGTAATAAATGCCATCCATGGGAGTGTATAAGAAATACAAAATCTTGGCCACTATCCCAAGCCTACTGAATCATATAAACTATACTATAACAAGATAGGCCTGACTCACTTGCAAATTAACAACTGACCTGATAGAAAAATATTGAGAAAGGAGTCAAGCTACAGGTTGCTGAGTGCAGCCCTACATATAATTTTAAAGCAACAGAGTAATAGATTTTGACACATACATAGAATAGAATATTATGAAGCCAACAGAAATATTTTCAAAATGTTTAGAGACAAAAGAAAATGCTAACAATATGTTATGTTAAATTAAAGTCGGGTGTAGTGGCACACATCTGTAATTCCAGCACTTCGGAGGCTGAGGCAGGATTGCCATGAGTTCAAGGCCAGCCTGGGCTACACAGTGAGTCCAAGGCCAGCCTGAACTACATAGTGAGACCTTGTCTCAAAAGTAAATAAATAGATAAATAAAATAAAATCAATTTAGAAAGCAGGTACAAAGCTGTTATTTGATACTAATCATTTCTCATGTGTTTATATATAAGAAAAAGGCCTGAAGAAGTTGTATTATGTGGGTAGTACAAAGAACGTGTCAAATTTTCTTTTATTTT